GCCCTTCCTCCTCCACCACCCCCTGAATGCTCGCACGTGAGATATCAATAAGCCAATTGACTACAAACGACCCTGAAGTGCGTTTCGCGCGCTTACTCTCCAGTAACCGTTGGATGGCAAAAAAACGATCGGCCGTCCCTGGATTCAGCCGTATCATTGGATTCCGGCCGTCCGATGCTTTCTTATGCCGGTCACGTTTCCTGTCCTTCTTCCCGCCCTTCTCCGACGATTGCTGTGTCTGTGCCTGCCCTGCTGCAGCGCCTGTGTCAGCGACTGCAACCAATGCTCCACCGTTTCCGCTGCTACCTGCTCTGCTAGGGGCAGCGCCAGACCCGGTCGTGACCTCCAGCGGCTGTGGCGCAGGAGGAATAATAGACAATGGCGAAGCAACCGCGACAGCAGCAGGGGGAGCGACAGGAGCAGCAGCAGGAGAAGCAAGGGAACCAGCAGCAAGAGGAGCAGCAACATCAGGGCGAGAAGGAGGAGGAGGAGGAGAAGTCTCCAGAGATCTCGGATCCACTGGTAGGTAATTACCTACTAGAGACCCGTGCCCCGTGCCCTGGTTCAGTTGGTGCTGCTGCTGCTGTGACGGCGGCGGCGGCAACTGCTGCTGCTCCGGGTGCTGAGACGGTGGCACCGACGGCGGCCACGTCGACACGGACTTCACATTGTTCCTCTCCAGACTCCCTCCTACGTGCCCGCCCTCTCCCCTTCGCTCCGAACCAAGTGTTGCTGCTGCTGCAGCTGCTGCTGTTGGTGGTGCTGGTAATGCTGCGACTGCTGCTGCTGGTACTGCTGCGACTGCCGCTGCTGGTAATGCTGCGACTGCTGCTGCTGGTACTGCTGCGACTGCCGCTGCTGGTACTTCTGCGATTGCCGCTGCTGCCGCAGGAACAGGAACCGCTGCGTACGCCATTACTGGTTTTCTCGACCCAAGCGCTGGAGCAACTGCATGCCCGCTTTCAGATACCCTGTCCACTGATATCCCCACCGCATATCCTGGGGACTTCCTTGCTCCTTCTCCTCCCTCCACACCGACTGTAGCGCTTCCATGTGACCTGCTCGGTGACGCTACACCTGGTCTGCTCACACGCATAGGAGGCTTGCTGATAGGCGCTGCTGCTGGCTGCTTCACGGGCGGGACTGTTATTGAGGAGGACTTTAGCGAGGTGGAATGTGGTAAGCCTGCCGCCTCGGCGCTTGCAGGAACTGCTACTCCCGCTACTCCCGCTAATCCGGCTACTCCCCTTACTTCTCCTCCAAGTGATGCTGCTGCTACGGCGCGGGGAGTGGAACCAGGAGGAGAAGAGGTGGACGGGCGACGGTCGGCAAGATGACTGTCCTTTGGAAGCGGGACTTGTTTCGTGCCTGCGACAACTGTCGTTGGTGCTTTCGCTGATACGCATGCAGCTGCTGGCGCCATTCTCTCTGGCACTGCTGTGGGCGGTACTCTTGTGGCTGTCGCTGCTGCAGCCGGCACTGCTGCAGCCGGCACTGCTGTAGCCGGCACAGGAGTAGCGGGCGCTGAGGCTCTGGCATTTTGTCTCGCAATGGCTGATTTCGCAGTTGCACGGGAATTCGCTGCTGCTGAAACAACCCCTGGAGTCGCAGCCACAGTTACCGGAGTCGCAGAGGCAATCGCAGAGGCAATCGCAGTCGCAACCGGTGTCGCAGCCACAGCCTCAGTCGCTGAAGCACTAGGCGCTGGATTCCTGGTAGAGGGCGATTCTGATACTCGTTCCACAGAAACCTCTGCTGCCATAGACACGGACCCATGCGCGCCTGATATTGCCACATCCACACCTTTTCTCCCTCCTCTCTCCTCTCCTCCTGAAACAGCACCAACAGCAGAAGTACCACCAGCAGCAGCGGCAGCACTAGCACTAGATATCCTTCCTTCAACGACAGTAGAAGCAGGCAATACTGCTCCAGGGGCGGCGCAATTCCCCGACGACTCACATCCGCAAGAGGAGCGCAATGTCGCTTCGGCGGAATTACCGCCGCCCTCATGACGGGATATGTTGTTCGAGTGCGGATCGGTGCGCGCTTGCGCTTGGGCATTACCGTTCGGAGTGACAGACGCGGACGGCACGGCGGCATCGCACGGTGATGAGTCGAGGGCACGAGCTGTGCCATTTCGGGGAGATGACTGGCCGTCAGCAGTGACAGAAGGTTGATTGCGTATCGTCGTCAGCTGTTTGCTGCAGCGCCCTTCCGTTTCTATTCCATTTGCTTCCGTGCGTGCGAGGAACGACTCTGCTGCTCTGCTACTCTCTTCACAGGATTCAGAGGACCTTACTCTACTGGTCACCGGTTCAGCCGGCGCCGACGCCGAAGGATGGCGATACGACGCTCCTTCTTCGGCGAACGATTCTTGCGCCGCACGCGGCTCGAAAGCAGCAGCTGCAGCAGAAAGGGGCTCTGCCTGCATTTCATCAACGGCACGCATGCGCGCAACATCCTCGTCACGAATCTCATCGTGCGACTGGTATTTCTCACCACGTAAGCGGGTCCCTCCATTCGAAATATTATCGCCAGCACCGTCTTTTGCGCCAGCCGCGCCGGCGGTTGCTGGGGTCGTTCTAGCAAGAGTGGCTAAAGCTTGAGAATCGCCATTGGCTTCACTCGTCTCACGGCTAATACCACTGTTTAATTCATCTAGGCTGACTGCTTCGTGATGGGATAACCCTAATCGACACCCACCGGCGTAGTTAGCACTAGGAACGGCTGGGGTAGCTGTGGACTTGGGACAAATAGTGAAGTCTGGATTCGAGGTCCACGTCATGACATCAGGGGAAAGGTGGTCCATGGCGGGAAGAAGGCTAGAGGGAACCACCAGCAGGGTGGGTGGGGGGAGGGGAGGTGCCAGGCGAGGGAGGGGAGGGAGCAAGTTCGAGGGGAGCAGGCCAGGCCTGGGTGCAGTGAGAGGGAACCTAGGGTTGGGTGGAAACCACAGAAGCGTGTGTGGTGGAGTGGAAACCACTGAAACGAGTTGAGAGGCGTGGTGGTACACCATTTGATGCTGGTGGTAGACTACCTGGAGGAATGCAGGCGAGGGATGAGGGTGGTGGAGATGGAGTTGGGAAAGTTTGGTGGTGCACCACTTTCCGGTATGTTACTAGAAGTGTTACGAGAACAGTAATTCAAGTTTACCAGGCTTCATACGCTAAGCTGATTTGTTTTACGGGGAATTAAGGAGTGATTTTGTCGAGGGTGCTCTTGTTGCTCACCTGCGGGGATGTTTCACTTTCAGGCGTTGACATCACCAGTGGTGGAATGGCCAATGAGGGAGCGGAATTTGTTGAAAAGTCGACCCTGTTTCTTCGAAGGCTCTGAGACTCGGGGGTACGTTTTGGCGGTAGCAATTCAGGCGGGAAATTTTGCAAAAGAAATCGAACCGCTATGTCTGGTGGCTTGTCTGTTGGACGCCACATCACCTCCTTTTCGCCGTCGATAGCAAAAATACGCGACTCGACTCAGAAACATCAACTTTGGTGCAACGCGTCGCGGTTGTGAAAGAGCTACCGTAACGGCAGGACCAGGTCCCTCCCCCAATTGCAGAGCCGAGACGACCGCACCCCGCTTCGCAAACAAATCAAACATTCTGCTCTGGCACAGCCACCAGAGCGGGCGAAGCAATAAAATCAGCAGGCAGAGCCGAGCCGAACGGCCTCGGGAAAATATTTTGCCGCAGTGCGTGCCTGCCCGAGGCGGGATGCAATCCAGGTGGAGCAACAACACACGAGGAGGAACCAAAAGCAAGCCGCGCAAATTGACCAGACCACCACCAGACAACTGCTCATGTGGTACAGTAACCGTACTGATGGCATTTTCCGCACTGCCCGCTCCGGTCATCATCCAGGTCCCCGACTCGCCCGAGCCTCCCGCGCCTTCCCACTTCTCTTTTCTCTCAATTTCTCGTCTACTTGGCTGCCGTTTTCCTCCCTCCCGCTCCTGCGTCTATTCCGCTCACTCTCTTCTCCTCACCCTTTCAGCCACCTGGCACACGCTCTAGCAGCCTAGTTCTTCGCTACGCTCTCTGTCGTGCAGACCCCTCCGTCCTTCAGTTGAGGCCTCGGTCACTGTCGGTGTTCCTTTCCGTCTCTCTCACGGCACGCATTTCGACAACCAACCATCACAAGACCTCACCTTCGTGTTTCTTTCATTCTAGCCATCAGCAGGCGCTTGTCTGTTCACACACATCTTGAGCAACTCAAACCTTCAGGAACAGAGCACCCATAGTAGTTACAGCAGGGACCACGGAAACGGTGTCGCGCTTAGAAACTAGTCTGATAGTCGACCCATTATCTATCCATTCTTAGGATCACTTCGTTTCGTACCAGGCTTAGCGTTCCAGGCCTCTCCGTCCATCGATTAAATTGAGTTCACGACGTCTGCCCTTTCTTTGCGCCAAGCAGTTCTTTTAGCTCTCTTACGCAATGACACGACACTCATATTCGCCAGGGACAAGAGCACGGCCACAAAGAGCGTCTCTCGGCGTGGCCGGCCCTTGTGGCCCTCCTTACCTTATGGACCCGATCAGCATCCGCTTTCCTCGCTCCCCAAGGTGACCACTAGCCTCTAACGCGCCCCCTGAGTGGAAGGAAGCGTGAGGAACGCTCAAGATACGATGGCATCGCTGGGATCGCGAGTTGTCAGTCTAGCTGCACTGCGTTCGCGTCCGGCGACGACTCCAGTAGTTCCATGTCGTTGAAATCTTCGAGTCGCTCGCGCGCCCCGTCTTTCAAACTTCGAACACCCGATTGACTGTGGAATCCTCTACTACACATCCCTGCTGTTGCACGCTCCTTTCGTTCGCTTGTCCCTTGTCCTCACCATTTCCTCTTAACGCCCCGTATGCTGCACGTATAGCTCATTGTTATTCCTCTTAACGTTGTGTTTTGGGCTTCGCTGCGTTTCTCCCCGCCAAATCTTACCGCGTAGATCCAATTCGAGTGGATTGCGGTAGCGTGGAGGGCAGCACGGACACCGACGGAATCATGTGGTTACCCGATCAATACTTCGCAAACGGCACAGCCAAATCCATTCAACCGGTAAGTCATGCCGACTCCAGGTGACTGACGGTCGACCACGATTGCCGGACGTCAGTGTCATTTCTGTTGCTGCGGCTCCCGTGCCCTGACCCGCGCGCTTACCTCTGACCCGAGCCCTGTGCCCCGTGCCCCGTTCCCCGTTCCCCGTTCCCCGTTCCCCGTGCCCCGTGCCGTCTTCCCCGCACCGCCGGTGCCTTGCCCCCTCTGCAGACGTACTACGCGGGCGGGTTACTGAAGCCTGTGGACCGCACGCTGCGGTACTGGGAGGTGGGCGACAGCTGCTACCGCGTGCCCGTGGCGCCGGGCAGATACCTCGTGCGCCTCAGCTTCAGCTATAACAAGTGAGTAGCGAGTAGCATGGAGTGGCATTGAACAGGTAAGCAGTCGCGTTAGGAGTGGTGTTTCTCCGTCATCGCTTTATGCCTGTCGAATAGCGTGTATGGGTATCGATGGAGGATTCTTACCCCTCTTGCCATCTCTCGTCTCGTAGTCTTACCCACTTTTAACGGCCCTTTGCCCGCTTTTCCCCCATCGCCCCCACCGCTCCCTCACCCATCCGCTTCCTGCTCCCGTATGTTATTCTTTCCGCTGCAGCTTCGATAACAACTACTACAACCTGTTACCATTGAATCTGGACCCGAGCGTGGGCGTGAGCATTAACGACTATTTCGTGGAGGTGGTGGGAATTCAGGGGCTCAACACCACAGCTTACTACACTGACTACATCGCCTTTTCGCAACCTGTTGAAACTACCGGGGATGGAGCTGATAACGGGGATGGAAGCGCCTCGCAACAGCAGCATCAGATTAGCATATGCTTTCTCCCGTTTCAAGGAAACCCGTTTGTGAACTCGTTACAAGTGCTCCCGGTGGACACTGACGCGTATTTCGCATCCACCACGGGCTCCAACGTGGTGCTCTCCAATTGGGTGCGCATCAACGCCGGCGGCGCCGCCATTGGCCCCGAGCCCAGCGGCACCGACCCGGGGCACCGCACGTGGAATGCCGACGTGGCGTCGTCCAAGTCGGACCCGTGGGTGAAAGTGGCGGCCACGTCAGCAGCGGAGGTAACGGTCCCCGCGAGCTGGGAATCGTTCAGCCTGCCGAACGAGTTATTCACCTCAGCGCGAGTTGCGGGCGGGAAATCCAAGACCACTGGGTATAATTTCACGGGACTCTTCCCCGTGGATCAAGCTAACGAGTTCATGGTGTTGCTGTATTTCGCGGAGATCGAAGCGGGGGTGGGCGTGGGGGATCGAGTCATGGATGTCTGGGTTAACGGCAAGTGGACGACGATCGATATCGTGGAGCGCGCGGGCGGCGCGAACACTGCGCTGGTGTATTCCCTCAACCGCGTGAAGCTCGGCGGAGTTCCGAACTCCCCCGAGGGGCAGTGGCTCGCGGTGCTGCTCCGCCCCGCGGGCGGAAATCTCAAGCTGCGCGCGCCAATGATCAGCGGAGTCGAGGTGTACGAGGTGATTTACGGCGACGACGGCGGAAGCGGCGGCGACGGCGGCGGCGCGACGACCGGCGGAAGCGCCGCCACGGGCGGGGATACGCAGATTAGGATCGACTGCGGCGGGCAGTATAACTACACGGACTCCCTGGGATTGGCGTGGTCCGCGGATTACGGGTATTCGAGCGGCGCGCCGGCGATCGTCGTGGACTCCGGAAACGACTTCGAATTCTCCAAGTCGCTGCGGTATTTCCCATCGGCGCGCATCAACTGCTACGACGTACCGGTCCCTAAGGGCCGGTATTTATTCCGCATGTTCTTCGACTACGGGAATTATGACCAGCTGAGCGAGACGCCCACGTTCGGGTTCGGCGTGGAAGGCGCGCCGTTGGTCGCGCTACAGCCGGACGCGCCCGGCGGTTTCCAGGAGGCTGTAGCGTTCGTGGAGGACGGCTCGGCGAGCGTGTGCCTGTACGGACACCGGGAAGGCGGCGCGAATAGCAACGGCGTAATGCTGCCGCCGGTGATTAACTCGTTAGAGATTCTGCAGGTGAACGATATGGCGTATGAGTCGACGCAGTATGGGAGAGATCTGGTGATGTACGATTATTATAGAGTCAACGCGGGCGGGCAGTCGTTTGGGGAGGGGTTGACGGAGGGGAAGGAGCTGGGGCATCGGCAGTGGGGAGACGAAACGACGCCGGGTGTAACGCTGAAGTGTAACCCGGGGTGCGATAACGAGTTTCTGCCGGCGAACGTGGCGACGTTGAAGGGCGTTGACGCGGCGCCGGACGTGATTCCGTTGGAGCTCGTTAAGACGGCGCGCACGGCGCGCACGCGCACCGTCGCCGGCGACGCGGATGGGTCGGTCGTGGCGTACAATCTGACGGCCTTCATGCCCGGGGAGGGCCTCGCGATCTTCCTGCGATTCGCGGAGCTGCGCGCCGGCGTGAAGGCCGGTCAGCGCGTGTTCTCCGTCTACTTGAACGGCCAGCCGGTTCCGGCCGGCAAGGGGATCGACCTGGCCGGAAAAGTGGGGCCGTTTGCGCTGTTTTCGCTGAACTTGCCGTACCAGCTGGCGCCAGAAGCTTCGTGGGTGTTGCTGGAGCTGCGCGCCGATAAGGGATCGGCCCTGGCGCCGGTTATCAGCGGCGTGGAGGTGTACGGGCTCATGGAACGAGGGCCCGCCGTCAGCGACGCGACTCGTGAGTGGGGATGGGGATGGGGATGGGGATGGGTGCGGGAGGTTTGGGGTGGGGGGATCGCTGCTGGCGCCGGTTATCAGCGGCGTGGAGGTGTACGGGCTCATGGAACGAGGGCCCGCCGTCAGCGACGCGACTCGTGAGTGGCTCGGCGCGCTGTTGTCTCCTCCTCTCTGCCTTCTCTTGCCTTTCCTGCTTTCTTGCCGCCTCTCCGTACTCTTTCTTTCTCGCAAGCGCTGTCCTCATCACCCACTCCTGCCTTCTTTTTTCGCCTTTTCCTCCCTCTCCCCTCTCCCCCCTGTTGTTCCCCCCATCCGCTTTCCCCCCCCCACCCCCCAGTGGCCGCAATGACGGAGATCAAGCGCGCGCTGCAGGTTCCCGAGTCGCTGAGCTGGCAGGGGCACCCGTGCTTCCCGCTCGCGTGGACAGGTGTCAACTGCACAGTGGACAGCATGGGCGAGGCGCAGGTCGAGATCATGTACGTGAGGGGAAAGGTTGAGACCGGAATGTGGCGTTTGGAAATGAGGCGGGGTGGGGGAGGTTGGGGTGTTGGGAGGTCGGGAATCATGGGACGGCATGGGCGAGGCGCAGGTGGTATGCAGGGGAGTGGTATGCAGGGGAGGTGGTATGCAGGGCTAGGGCGTGGGGGGCGGCGGGGGCTTTGAAGCTATGCAGGCGGTGGGGGGAAAGCAGGAGGGGATAAGCAGGAGCGGCAGCGGCTTTCTCTAAGCTTTGGGGCTTGTGGTGAAAGGGCAAGGGGACGTTGGGCGTGGCGGGTTGTCTGTGGTGGGTTGTCGGATCATTTATTCCTGTCCCTCCCTCCTCCGTCCTCACTTCCTCGCCTTGTCTCCCTCTCCTGCGTTCCCTCTGCGTTGGCTTGTGCCTCTGACTGAGTGCAGATCGCTGACAAACGTCGCTCTCAACGGCTCCATTCCGCCTGCCATTTCGCAACTGACATCTCTTGTTTCTCTGTGAGTGTGCACGTGTGGGGGCTGATCCGCGTGACCATGGTGTGGGTTGCATGGGGTGTCAAGTCGCATGCCATGCTGAGTCGCTCACATTGAGCACTCTCCTAAGCATCTGAATCTGGATGCATTTCTGTTCTGTTGACGTCTCTTTTGCTGCTCCTGCTGCTGCTGCTGTTTCTATCTCTGTTGCTGGTGCTGATGCTGTTGGTGCTGCTGTGTGGCAGGAACCTGAGTGGGAACGCCCTCACAGGATCCATTCCCGCAGCCATCACCTCTCTCCCCCACCTCGCCTCGCTGTAAGTTCACCGTGCTTTATGTGTACCGCTGTGCTTTTATCACGGGAACTGCTTCTTCACACGGCTCTCGAACTTTCATTCAGGGCGATTTGCTTTTATCAAGGGAACCCTGCTGCTGCCGCTGCTGCTTCTGCTGTTCTCATTCTCTTGTCTCCTTTCGCGCCCGCCCCCTTTCTCTCTCTCGCTCTCTCTCGCTTCTCCTGGCGGCAGGGACCTCTCACACAACCAACTGAACGGCTCCATTCCTGCTGGGATCGCAACCATGCCATCCCTCCATCTACTGTGAGCATCTGGGGATTATGGGGTGTGTGAGCAGAACGTATGGGTTGTAACTCCCTCCAAGCTCTCTGTTCATCCCTTTGCTTCACTTGCTTCCATCCTTTCGTCTCAGTCGTCTTCCACCCTTTACTCTCCCTCTCCCTGCATGTGTGCGTGGTGTGTGTGACTGTGTGCGTACACGTCTGTGTGTGTGCTCTCTCTCATCGCAGGTATCTCAACGACAATGAGCTGGCGGGTGTTCCCCAGGGCCTCGTACCAGCTCCCTCTGGCCTCACTCTCAGGTTCGTCCCCCTCTCCTCTCCTTTCATTATCGCAAAACTTATGCACATGCTCTCGCTTCCCCCGTACACCCACCCCTGTCACTCACACCATCCGCAACATTTTCTGCTTGTAGCGAAACTTACCATCCAATTTCAGCACTGCCAGTTGTTCCCTAATGCCTTATTCCCTTGCATTTACTCGTTTCCTACCCCTCTGGTGTCTCACACTCCCAACCCTCATCTCTCCCCCATCCCCCTGCCCAACAGCCTCGCCAACAACCCGTACCTCTGTGGCACGGACGGTCTCCAATCCTGCGACTCTGCTGCGGCCTCCGCCCCGCCCGGCACCTTTGAGGCCATTCCGCTGCCCCCGCCGGCCCCCGCATCCTCCTCGTCGAGTGGTGGGCTGAGCACGGGCGCGGTGGTGGGGATTGTGATTGCGGTGCTGTGCGGTGTGGCGCTGCTGGCGGCGGGAGGCGTGTTTGTGTGGCGGAGAAAGCAGCGCCGGCATATGGTGTTTTCAGACAGCGAGCTCATGCACCGTATGTGCTCATCCCTTTTTTCCCCATTTCTTTCTTCCATGTGTGTTCTTGCTGAATAATACGTTTTAAGGCTAGTCGTACTCTTTATGCATCAACTTTTCCTCAACTCCCCACCACCACCACCCTCGTTGGTCATACCATATCATCATTGTCGTTCCTTACCGTTTCCCTCCCCCAACCCCTCCTGTCCCTTTTTCAGAAAACATGTTTCCATACAGCAAGAGCAACACGCGTGGGTATGACGAGGATTCAATCTCAGCAGGATCTGGTTCGCCCTATGTGCACGTGCTGTGAGGCGTGCAGTGCGATGCTGTGAGGTGCTGTGCGGCGCGGCATGGTGCTGTGGCGTGGTGAGCGTCCCTTTGAAGGGCCGGTGCGTGCTCGTGGCGATATATGAAACAGCGTCCAGTGATGAGGATGGTTCATGAAGGTCGTGTGTAAGAAGAGTTTTGACAGCACCTCGCTCAAAGGTGCCTGGAGAGCAAGGGAGAGAGAGAGGAGAGAGATGGAGAGAGGCAATGAGAGAATGAGAGTTGGAGAAATGAAATTGGTGTGTGTAGGTAGGTAGATACGGGGGAGGGTCTGTGCGGCAGGGAAGGAGCAAGAGGCAGCCTGTTTCGCTGCCTCTGCAACAGCGGATTGTTTTTTAGGGTCCGGAGCAGCAGCGGCAGCAGCAGCAGTGGACATTGGACAGCGGCAGGATAGTGGCGGATAGCTATTCGGCCCTCCTACAGGATAGATATAGAGGTGGGTGGTGCTGTCCTGAGCTACTGCTCTGGCTGCTGGTTTCTCTGAAAATAGATGAGTGGTCTCCTTTGGGTGGAACACACACAGTATGTAGCTGATCTCGACTCAGGTGGAGAAGGGGGGAGGACAGTGGAGAAAAGTGAGGAGGAGGAGGAGGAGGAGCAGCAGCAGCAGCAGCTGGCATGATTATGCGGGATTGCGTGGTGGCGGTGGTGGTTGGCAGCAGCAGCTTGTATTTAGCAAGCCATGGGTCGGAGGAGTAGCAGTTAAGTCTGCTGCTGGTGGTGGTGATCTTGCTGTTTTGCTGCTGCTGCTGCTGCTGCTGCTGCTGCTGCTGCTGCTGCTGCAAGGGCATGTGTCTCTCTAGTTAGTGAGGAGCAGGTGGGACTATGGTAGGTGGGAATACAGCGTCAGTTTTTTTCTGGGGTGATTTCAACCCAAATGCATGCGCTTATCTGTGCATGCTTGGCCGGAGAGGAGAGGAGATATAGAGTTTTAGTGTCTCTGCTAACACGTTTTATATGTACACAGCTCGTAAAGAGGGCACCAATTTGGTGTATTTCATAACCCGTACCGTAAAAACGGCATGCTAGTGAGATTTCACCTTCCATAACAGGCTACTTGAGGTAGTGTTGATCACCATCACAATCAGCAGCAGCAGCAGCAGCCTTAGCTGCTAGTCTTCCTACCAGTAAAAGCTCTCTGTGACATGCCATGCTATTCCATCTACGTAATGAGGTGATTTTGAAGCCCGCGTCCCAAATTGCGGAGCGCGAGGGTCAAGTTTTTAAAACTTGACGAAGTTGAGTTTCCAAGCTTTTGAGAGTCACGCACCTGCAATTTGGGACTTCGGAAGACAGATTCACTCACCAGGGGGAAAATCGGGGGTTGGCTGTGTCTCACGAAAAAAAACGAACCTAGACGAAATTTGAAACCTTCGCCAAAGCCCACTCCAGAAAAACTCTCTCTTGTCAACTTTTAAAAGCATGAACAATTTGGGCCGCCGGCTTTAAAGGCGCCTCAAAATTGTTGGAAACAATAAATTGTAAACGCCTCTGTCGTGTCGAAACACCACACCAGAAGCGAAGCACGCCATGTCGAAGCACCCGCGAGTCAACCCTCGGAGGTTAAAAAGAGGTTGCTGGAGGTTACGCGAAAGTCAAAGGTCAAGCGACCTTTGACCTGACAAATGCAGCGCGACAGTTAAGGACACACAACTGACTCGTTACAGAGCAGTTGCCCGAGTCGCACTGTATCGAACCGCAACAGCAACAGTAAAGCAATTACAAACTATATCCTTTCATATTCCTTGTATTATTATATAATCTTGTACTTCCTTGCTATAATCAATCTACTTTGCCCTCACATACCAGCGCAAGGTGGTTCACAAACTTTTGTTAAACGCTTCCGCTATTACAACACTATCCATCCAGAGTTCTCCCTTGAAAGATCCTAAGGGGCTATCTCAGCCCAACATGGTATGAGAGCAAACAGGGGAAACTCTACTACCTTCAAATCATTACAAGACATGGCAACAAGCAAGGAAAGGAGCTCCTCTAACGGCTCCCCAGGCACTACTCCTACTCCACCTCCTGCCTCTGGCCTGCAGACAGAGGAAGGCACGGCAACAAGACCAAGAGTAACATCTACTGAAACTCCCGCAAATCACCCCGCGAACTTCGACCCAAGTATAATGGAGAAGTTCTTCTCCTTCATGTCCTTCTACGAGCAGCACCAGCAGTCGGGACCTGCACAATCACACAACAGCAACAACAACGGAGCAACACCCATGAGCCTTGACGGGTCGTCATATGCGCGCGGAAACCAACAACAGCAACCTACCTTCGCCCCGTACGAGCGCGGGTCGATCAGCTTCATGCCGCAGCCTTCACCTGGACAAGATAAACCACTGGACGCGTTACAAGTGCAATCGCAGTTCGCGCACGTTCTGAAGCTGCAGACATCAAGGCCCTTCGACGGAAAGGACTTCTTCACCTGGTCATTCGAGTTTGAGTTGATGATGGAAGGCGCGCAAATACTCGGCTTCTTCGACGGGTCCCTGCAATATCCAGCAAACGGCACACAGTATGAGAAGCAGCAGTATACGTATCAATCGATGATGGCGTATACGATTCTACTGAGGAACGTCACACCAACTCAGCAGCAGAACATACGCTCTTACCGGGGTTACGGCAACTCCGCTGAGCTCGCGTACAGCCACCTGAAGAGCCTGTATCAAGCAACAGACAGCGTAAACCAAAGCAGGTTAATGGCACAGATGACAACAATTGAAATGAAATCGGGAGAAAAGGGGATGGCGTATATCAGCCGATGTCGCGAACTGCGCGACAAGCTTCTTCGATGCGGAGGGTCAATCTCTGAAGACGCCTTCGTGACAGTCATCATTGGTGGTCTCGGTCCCCAATGGCGCGCCACCAAAGCTATCCTCCGAGCCCACGGCAGAATCTCTGAAGCAGCACTCTGCGCCGAAATCCACGCTGAGCAGCAGGACATGGACCTGCAAGAAGAACGACACAGAAAGAAGACGACAACATCAGAGTTCGCGTTTCACACTCAACGACGTCACAACAATTACAACAATCGACAACAACAACCGAAGCCAGTACCTCCTTTCTGCCACATCCACAAGACTTCAGGACACCCACGCACACACTGCCCGAATCGACAACCGTCAACGACTCCGCAGCGACAGCTACGACCTTCAAGCAATCAAGTCGCATCAACACAGCCGAATCCAACGACCCAGCTCCAATCTTCAACAACTCCAACGGGACAACCTGCACAAGGAGCAAGAAACATCGTTAGCTGCATGGCAAGACTGAACGATTCTTGCATCACAGAATCGCCACCGTACTACTCACCAGAAGAGCAATTCGACGAAACGACACCACGCCGCGAGTCACTTCAGCCGAACCCGACATACGCTGCCATAGCCCAAAACGAGCCATCCGGAAAGGACACGTGGTTCTTGGACAGTTGCTGCGGACAACACATGTGCTCCTCAGGACGCTTCGTACAACGAGAATACCAGCTTCAACGAGAGGTGGTCATCACCGTCGCCAACAATCAGAACCTGCGCACACGACGACAAGGAGTTGTTCAACTTCAGTCACGAGAAACGAACGTCATTCTACAGATGTCCAAGGTTTTAATTGCAGAAGGCCTCGGCTACAACTTACTCAGCGTCAGTCAACTGATGGCGAAAGGCATTCACCTTGAAGCAGACAGCACAACCCAGGAATTCAAGCTGTACCACGGGAGAGGAGGTCTCTACATCGGCAAGGCGGTTCTCAAGAACAACGTCTTCGTTCTTGACTTCGTCCCCGATCTCGGAACGGCCGACAGCGACGCCATCGTCAACTTCACTGACTGGACACATCCTCCAGATCTTGATCCAGACTTCAGCCCGAGCGGCTTCTGGTACTCACACACCATCCCTGAAACAGAAAGAACAAGGGCGCTGGCGACAATTCAGCAGTCGGCAGCAGCAGAGACAACGTCGGCAGCAGCAGAGACAACATCGGCAGCAGCAGAGACAACATCGGCAGCAGCAGAGACAACGTCGGCAGCAGCAGAGACAACATCGACAGCAGCAGAAAGATTAACACCAGTTGCCGGTCCCTCAACGGCACAGCCCTTCATCGACGAGACGCCGCCAACAATCCGGCACCACGGGAAGTTCATAGAAGCGCGAACATCATCGCCGGCTTCTACTCCAACTCCGACATGTACCGACGCTCGCCAGGACACCGCGCCAACGAAGAAACCTGGCACGCAAGAATGGGACACCCAAGCAACACAGTATTAAACAACACGATAAGAGCTGGAGTACTTGACAAGGATTCACTCTTACTGATCGACGGCAGAGAACTTCAGCGAGCTCGAGGAACGTGCTTCACCTGCCCCGAAGCCGACTTACCGCATCAGCCCTTCGTCTCGCATCACAACCCAAGCGCACCTGCATATGCACCACTCGAGAAAGTGTACAGCGACATCTTGTACAACCGCGAACCCGGACAAAACGCGTACAACTACACCATCACCTTCATCGACGCCGCTACACGTTACGTCTGGCACCTAAACTTACCAAGTCGCGACATGGCTTTCGAGGCTTTCGTGGCATGGCTTCCAGCAGCAGAACGGGAATCGGGAGCTAAACTCAAAAGTTTTCAATCAGACGGAGGAGGAGAATACTCGTCACAGCGGTTCAAGCAGTATCTGGCGGAGAAGGGAATCAAGAGACTCATCTCCCTTCCCTACGCCCATCAACAGCAGGGTGTAGCAGAAAGGATGAACAGGACTCTGCAGAACACCATGCGCAAACTGTTACGTGGCATGCGGCTACCCAACCACCAGTGGCCCGAAGCAATGGACCACGCCGTGATGCTGCACAACTTGCTTTCTTCGTCGTCACTCCCGAACAACACATCACCGCATCTGCTGTGGACAGGGAAATTGGGCAGCACAAAAATGTTACGAGTCTTCGGCTGCATGGTACAGTACCGACCCCCATCTGCACGAGCCGGCCGATTCTCCCAACGCGCACAGTGGGGACTACACCTGGGCATCGAAAAACATTACAACGCGTGGAAAATCTTCGACATCCACACCAAGGAAACAGTAGCAGCACGTGATGTCATTTTCTACGAGCGGCTCACACTGCCAACATACCTTGCCAACCTGGACGAAAATCGAGACCCCACAGGTGGCTTCCGTGGCGATCGAGCCTTCGCTTCGGCAGGAGACGAAGCTGACTGGGACGAGCAGAACGTGGAAGGAGCCTCGGAAGAAGCCGGACCTCTTCCCTACTGCTCAGTGGACGTACCGATGGACGAAGATAACCCTCGCGAAAGCGTCAACGCCGAAACCTACTACCACTTCGCCGACAACGGTTACGTTACACCTGCTGAAGTCAACACCAACGAAGCAGAACGCATAGGGCCCAACTTCGCACCTGATCCAGAAGCTGGAGACGAGGCAGTCTATCCCGAGGACACCACACTCCCCCGCTACACACAGAGTGGACTCCAGATACTCGGGCTCGTCACCGCAGTCCACGGCGCCGCCATTCCTAAAGAGCCTGCAACGGTTCAGCAGGCTCTGGGGGGGGAACACAGGGAAAAATGGCGTGAAGCCATGGACAAGGAGCTGAAAGCGCTAGAAGAACGCAACACCTGGAAAATCGTTCCTATCGGCGTAGCACGAAACAAGACCATTCTCACCGGAAAATGGGTCTTCCGCGTGAAGACGAAAGCAGATGGCACCATCGACAAATTCAAAGCGCGCTGGGTCGTACGCGGCTTCGACCAAGAGCACGGTCGCGACTTCACCGAAACCTTTGCTCCGGTCAGCCGACACACCTCACTACGCATTCTCCTCGCGATCGCCGCCATGAAGAAGAAAAGGCTACGACAAATCGACGTCGCAAACGCCTTTCTCTACGCACCTGTTGACGCAGAAATCTTCGTGGAGCTACCACACGGCTCCAGCACGGACTCCACACACGTCTGTCAACTACTCAAATCGCTCTACGGCATCAAACAAGCCCCACGACTGTGGCAACAGTACCTGCACGCCCGACTCGTTCGCATCGGCTTCAAGCAGCTACCGCACGATCAGGGAATGTATCGGCTCACGAAGGGTACAGACTACATCCTCCTAATCGTCTACGTAGACGATTTACTCTACATCGGCTCGACAGACAACGTCACCTCCTGGTTCGAAGGGGAGCTGCAGAAAGACCTCACGCTCACGGTCTCGTCTACCGTCACACAGTACCTCGGCCTCAACATCCGAGAAGAAGAAGATGCGATCTACCTCAACGCCGCGAAATATGCCGACACCATCGCCAAACGCTTCGCTCTCACACCAGCCGCCATCTCCACGCCATACCGCTACACGACAGGAACCGAGAAGGGACGATCCACTCTACTCAAACCAGCCGGCATACGCGACTATCAGAGGAAGCTCGGATGCCTCCTCTTCGCAGCCGTCACTTGCCGTCCCGACCTCTCATACTCCGCAAGTCAACTCGCCACCTACCTCAAGAGGCCTGAAGCAGAACATCTGGCGGAACTTGACCGCGCTCTTCACTACTTCATCAGCACCGCGACGATCGGCCTAACCTACCACAAGAACGCAGCTACACCAACTAAGCTAATCGGCTATGTCGACGCCGATCACGCCGGCGACTCCGACAACAGGCGCTCACGTACCGGCTACGTCTACCGCCTCGAACCTATCGGACCTATCTCCTGGCAGTCGAACAAGCAGGAGTTAATCGCGTTATCATCAGCTGAGGCAGAATATATCGCACTCTGCTCAGCCACCAAGGAAGGCCTTTATCTTCGCGAGCTGCTGGAAGAAGCAAAGTTAGCTGAGTTACCCAACTTCACCCTGTTCTGCGACAACCAGTCTGCAATTCGCATCGCCAACAAGAACGGCTTCGCGAACAGGACGAAACACATCGCCCTGCGTTACTTCTTCGTGAAGGACGAGATCGAGAAGGGGAGACTTCAGCTGTCATACTGTCCCACGTCCGAGATGGCAGCCGATTATTTGACCAAGAAACTCGGAAAGCAGAAATTCGAGTACTGCGTGTTGCTGACTGGACAAAGCCACGTCATCAAGAGCGACACTCCAGAAGCGAAGGGGAGTGTTGGAAACAATAAATTGTAAACGCCTCTGTCGTGTCGAAACACCACACCAGAAGCGAAGCACGCCATGTCGAAGCACCCGCGAGTCAACCCTCGGAGGTTAAAAAGAGGTTGCTGGAGGTTACGCGAAAGTCAAAGGTCAAGCGACCTTTGACCTGACAAATGCAGCGCGACAGTTAAGGACACACAACTGACTCGTTACAGAGCAGTTGCCCGAGTCGCACTGTATCGAACCGCAACAGCAACAGTAAAGCAGTTACAAACTATATCCTTTCATATTCCTTGTATTATTATATAATCTTGTACTTCCTTGCTATAATTAATCTACTTTGCCCTCACATACCAGCGCAAGGTGGTTCACAAACTTTTGTTAAACGCTTCCGCTATTACAACACTATCCATCCAGAGTTCTCCCTTGAAAGATCCTAAGGGGCTATCTCAGCCCAACAAAAATCACCTCGTGACATGCTATTCCAGCTAGTGTTGATCTTATAAGTATGCCTGTGGCTCTTATTACTATGCAAATGGTACCATGCTTGATTAATGTACGTTGGTTGGTTGAGCTGGTGTTGGTGGGTTGGATTGGGTTGGATGCAGTCGGAAACTACCAAACCTTGTGACTGAGGTTAGACTAGGAGGGGCATGGTTTCAAGCCATCATCAATGGTAGGTGTTTTCACCCCCACAGTACCGGTATGATGTTGTGATGTTTGGTACCGGCACATGGGTGGGGAGGCCATTGGTTTATTGTGGCCAGGGTCAGGATGCGCCTATGATAGCATGGCAACAGACTTGGGAGTGATTAATGAGAATCATTGCTCACACGAGCATGGTATGGTATTGCCATGGTGTTCACTGTACATGCATGATGACAAGATGCTGTTACAGTTCCCTTCTCAATCCTGACACTGTCATGACTCATGAGGCCACAGGAGTGCATATCACCTCTTTACACGCCAAGTCCTCATCGACCTCCCACAAGTCTGCAGCAGTTAGCGCTCTTAGAAACGATAATCCCCCCGCCACGCCCTTCCCTCCCTGCATGGATATGTCCCCTTCAATGCTGAGCTGTGTAGGTACCGGAAGCGTTACCACAGCAGCAGCAGCAGCAGCGGCAGCAGCAGCAGCAGCAGCAACTGCGGACCTGTGGCTTTTGCTGCCTGAGAGACTGGCTGTGGCAAGAGTTTCAGCTTTCAGGCTGCTACTGGTGTTGCTAGTATGAGTTTTTTGACTCACAAGCTTTGTTTCTTCTGTGTAACCAATTCTGCTGGATCCACCACTGTGCTCCTGTAACCCTCGGCGAGTCTTCGATTTGGTCTCCGCTTCCTCCTCCTCTCCCCGCACCTCCTCTCCATCCTCCTCCTTCTTTAAGTGCGAAGGCCGTTCCTGCTGCTGCCGCTGCTGCTGCTGCTCCTGCTGCTCCTGCTGCTGCTGCTGTTCCAGAAGCAGGATTTGATACCGGGACAGTGCAACAACAGCGTCTGGGTGAAAGCTTCTGACAACAACACCAGTGGCCTTGGCTGCTTGGAGCATTGACTGGCCCAGTCTATCCCACCCCACACCCCACCTCTTCTCCACCAAGGCTTGTGTCACTACTCCTCCTCCTCTTCCTCGTCCTCCTGTGGTGGTGGCGGCGGTGGTGGGGATGGTTTCCTCTCTTGAAGCAGATTCTCTTGGGCTTTCCTGTTTCTGTGTCGAGGATGGTTGAAGCACGGAACTGTCCCCTCCTCCTCCTTTCTCCTCTCCCACTGCGTCGTTCACTGCAGCAGCTGTCGCATTCCCAGTGGTATCAGCAGCACTGCTAGCTCGAGGGGAAGAGGATAGTGAGGAGGAGGAAGAGGAGGAAGAAGGGGAGGTGGAAGCAGGCTTGGCTGCTTGCAGTTTCTGCATGTGCTGCTCATGGGATGCCATGAGAGCACCCCACATGCGCTCTGTGGCCTTTGAGCTGCGCAGATACAGCAGCGTGAGAGAGAGCGCGCCTCCTTGCTCCACCGCTTCTTTCAAATCCACGAATCCGTCACTCATAAGGCTGATACCAATGCTGCTGCTGCTACTGCTGCTGCTGGCCCCACTGCTGCTGACGCCGGTGGTGCTTTTGCTGCTGGTAGCACCCTCACCCTCGCCCTCGTCTCCTTCATTGTCCACAACACTTGCCCCACTGCTCACATCACCATCGCTACCTACCAACTCCCGCCCAGCACTACCACCAGCACCAGCACCAACACCAGCACGAGCATGAGAATGAGCATACGAAGTCGACCGAGCATCAGATGACCCAACACCATGTCCAAGACCTGTAGCTTCAAGAAGCATGCGGGCCTCTTCATTCTCCTCTCGGCTGCCCCTTAATCTCCGCCCCTCTCCGCTCTCCTCCCTCTCAGATTGAACTGCATCCAGCCCCTTCCTGCCTCCCAAACCACCTGCGTTGCTCTCCTCTACCCCTCCTCTCCCACTTGCCCGCTCCGCTCCCTCTGGTCCCTCCTCTTCCTTCTCTCCCTCCACCCCCTTAACTCCCTTCAACACCGTTTCACCTTTCTCAGCCACCCTTTCTTTGCTTGCTAATCCTGATACTGATACTGCACCCCCACCTGCTCTACCTTCAGATTCGTCTCCCACGCCCCCCCCTCCTCCAACCACCACTCCCACAACATCCGCCTCTTCACCCTTCGGCCCCGCCCCAACAGCACCACCGCCGCCAGCAGCACTAGAACCAGCACCAGCACCAGCAGCAGCAGCAGCAGCATCAGCGAGAGCAGCAGAGACGTCAGACAGCCACACGGAGCGAGGATCAGCAAGCACAACGTTATACCCTAGCTGTATGGCGGAATGAACGCCATCTAGCCACAGCTTCTGCCGCTCCAATGCCCGTGCTGCCGCCTCCCACACTGCCAACTCGTCCCCATCCTCCCATGCTGACCGTTCTCCGCTTCCTCCCCCCCGTCCTTCCCCTTTTCCAACTATACTACCATCACCATTGCCATTAACGTTACCATCACCATCAGCACCACCATCAGCAGCAGCAGCAGCAGCAGCATCCGCCATCAGACCAGCACCTGCTACTTCCCCCCGGCCCGTACCAGCACCCTCGTCCAAGGGAGGCAAACCAGACAAATCCGCACCAGCAGCAAACGCAGCAGCTGCTGCTGCTGCATCAGAAACAGACACGCGTTCTGCTTCAATCCCCGCCTCAATCTTGGAAACACTGACACCAGCTCCTCCGGTAGAAACGTGCCGAATGGGACTGCTGTCCCCCTTCTGGTCCAACCCTGCCCGACCGTCTCCCTCGGCCTTGCGAGACACTTGTGACGGGATAACACGTGAGCTCTGGGACAATAACACCCTCGGCTTTTGTCGAGGTGTACGACTCCCTTGCAAGGAAGCTCTCGGCCCTTGCTGTGATGATACGGCAATTGATCCAAACATGTGTGGTCGTGCTTGTGTTCTCACTTGCCCTGCCGAATCCCGACGGGTCCTGTCCGCATTTTGGTAGCTCACAGCATTCCCAAGGGCCTTAGGGATTCCAAGCGAACGTGAGTTTCCGTGCCATGGCTTTGGCAATTCAGATGTTTCCAAGGTCACCCGGCCCACCTTGCGCGAAGGAGCTCGCCCCCTGCCCTCTAACATGACTGCTGACTCCCTCTCATCCGCTGCCTCCTGTATTTGCTGCAACTGCGCGCATGAAGGCAAAAGAGAGGGGAGGGTTAGTTTTCAGTCGACTCATAATACTCTCGCTCATCCTCTGCCTCCTGGATTTGCTGTAGCTGCGCGCACAACAAGGGTTGGAGGAGGGTGGGGATAAACAAGAGGAGGACGGGTAGCAGGGAGGACAGGATGAGAGGAGGATGGGAGGGGGGAGGGTAGGATTGGGTGTGGCGGGTAGATATTGAGGGAGATGGAAAGAGAGTAGTTGGAAGGTTGGGATGAGGGGTGAAGGAAGGGAAGAGGTAATGTGGAAGGAGGAGAGGAACCATGGAGGTAGGCAAACAGCACACATACATTATTCATAAAATTGGATAATGGCTTGGCTACAAGCACACACACGTGGGTTTGAGACGTCTTAGAACTTGGCATTGCAACAAGCACACGCACGCACACACACAAACGCGCGCGCACACACACACACACACACACACACACACACACACACACACACACACACACACACACACACACACACACACACACACACACACACACACACCTGCAAGCCTTCAAGCACACACATGCGTACCTGCATGACGGCGTGGCCTTGTCGAGTGAGGTGCACCCCCAGCGGCGCATCATCCAGCAGAACCACATAGTTGGACACTTGCAGCTTTGAGACGTCTCAAATCCTAGCATTGCAACAAGCACTCACTCATGCACGTACCGGCATTCCAACGAGCACACAGACATGCGTACCTGCATGACGGCGTGGCCTTGTCGAGTGAGGTGCACCCCTAGTGGCGCATCATCCAGCAGAACCACATAGTTGGACACGTGCAGTTTTCATAACTTGACATTGCAACAAGCACACGCACACGCACACACACGCATACCTGCATGACGGCATGGCCTTGTCGAGTGAGGTGCACCCCCAGCGGCACATCATCCAGCAACACCACATAGTTGGACACTTGCAGGCGTGCCGCATGGCACAGCCAGTTCGCCAGTAGCGGATCTAGACTAGGGGCGTCTAACGCTGATGAGGTGGATGCGGAAGCAGGAGGTGATAATGCAGATGAGGGATCAAACGAAGAATGAGACGAAGCTTTGGAGGAAGAGGAGGAGGAGGAGATTGTGGGAGAGGTGGGAGAATCGGGGGAAGCGGAGGGATCAAGGGAAGCGGCTGGAGTGACCGAAGGGACCGAAGAACCGGAAACATTTGGGGAAGGCAAGGGGCGGAATGCGGTGGGAGACGGTGTGGAGGAGTGGAGCGCGTTGACGAGGACGATGGTGGAGCGGCGGTGAGCTGAGGCGAGAAGAGGGGCGATGTCCTCAGGACTGCGAGCGAGGCGAGCGGAGGAGAACTCCTGACACGGATGGGGGGAGGGGGGCAGGAAGGGGGGAAAGAGAAGGGGGGAAAGAGAAGGGGGGAAAGAGAAGAGCACATTGATAGCATGTTAGAGATGTGAAGCCCTGACCTTCGCCCTACTCCACTCCACTCCACTCCACTCCACTCCACTCCATAACAAGCTAACAAGTTAGCCCTATAGAGGCAGAGGGGCGATGTCTTCTGGACTGCGAGCGAGGTGAGAGGAGGAGAACTCCTGAAACGGATGGGGCGGAGGGGAGGAGAACGGAGCAGTCGGGAGAGAGGATGATGGAAGGGAATGCAGAGGGTAGAGACCACTCGATTGATAGATCACAGATGTGAGACATGCGGCCAGTTAGCAGAGGAGCCGAGGGAGCCGTGCTTGTCGGATTGTGAGTGACGTGATCCGAGGGAGCGGAGAAGAGAGAGGGGAGGAGGGAGTGAAGGATTATGGAGGGAGATTGTGCGATGGCTCCAATCCACTCCACTCCACTCCACTCCACTCCACTCCACTCCACCAACTGGCCAGTGTCACATGTCGGGGGCTCACCTGGAAGCAAGGGTCGAAACGACGAAGCTTGCGGAGAGGTAGGAAGGTCCATGTGTCATCCGCTGCTGCCGCTGCAGCTGCTGCTGCTTCTCCTCCTCCCTCTCCTCCTCCTCTTTCTCCTCCTGCTCCTCCTCCTCCTCCTCCTCCTCCTCCTCCTCCTCCTCCCCCCTGCGCCATTAATTCGTCACTCACTAGCTCGGAAGCCATGCCTGCTGCTCCCGTGAGAGGCGAATCCATGTCTCTGTATGCAATGGGAAGTGGCACGATGCACATGCATATGCACATGCACATTCACATTCACATGGGCATGCAGTGCAGAGCACGCATTAAGCCACACAGAAGTGATTGCGCAGGTGAGCTGACAAACCCAAGTAGTGGAAAGAATGAAAGTTCGCAAGGCGGGCCGAAGGATTGGTGGAGGGGGAAAAGAAGAGAAGAAACAAAGCGGGAAGGGGATGGCTATTGGCATTGAGCTGACTCTGAAGAGCCAGAGAGCACAGCGCACTCTCTTGTGCGACATTTGAGTCGACTCAAAAGAAGAGAAGAAAGGAAGAGGGAAGGGGATGGTTATTGGCATTGGGCTGACTCCGAAGAGCCAGAGAGCACAGCGCACTCACTCGTGCAACACCGCCAGCGTGCCGCCTCCAGGAAACACCCGAAAGAGGTTTCCTGGAGGCGGCACAGCGTTTGGGTGCCTCCCCCAGGAGACACCCAAATGCGAAGGGTGGCTTTCGAGCTTTGAGCCGACTCGGAACAACCAGGGAGAGAAACATTCGCTCGTGTGAACACAGCGCACTCACTCGTGCGACACCGCCAGCGTGCCGCCTCCAGGAAACACCAGAGAGAGGTTCACATACGCCCCCGCGTGCATGAACCGCATCACCCAGCCACTCCCACACTCGGCACCCACACTAAGTGATTTTAAGTCAACTCAAACTTTACAGCACACACTCGTGTGAGCACAGCACAGCACAGCACGGCACAGCACAGTACACTCACTCGTGCGAAACAGCCAGGGCGCCCCCCCCAGGAAACACCCGAAACAGGTTCACATACGACCCCGCGTGCATGAACCGCATCACCCACTCCCACGGCTCCTCCGCCCACGCCACGCCCTCCCCCCCACGCCACGACTCCCACTGCTGCCGCCGCCGTTGCCACGGCGCGTCTGCTGCTGCCACCAGCCCTTCCACTGCTGCTGACCGGCCGAAAGCGCGCTGCTGGTCGAACCAGCGGCGAAAGGCCTTCCAGGGCCGCGGAAAGAGGAGTTGAGCAAGAGGGTCGGTGGCACGGTAGAGGAAGAGGCCTGTTGTGTTGGTGAGTAGGGCCTGGTTTCCCCGCTTGCCTGGTGGGTGAGGGGTGTGGGTGGGGGGAGGGGGTTGTGCGAATTAAGGGTGCAGGGGAGAGTTATAGTGGTAGAGGAAGAGGCTTGTAGTGTTGGTGGGCAGGGCTTGATTGCCTTGATTGGCTTGTAGTGTTGGTGGGCAGCAGCAGCAGCAGCAGCGGCGGCGGCGGCGGCGGCGGCGGCGGCGGCGGCGGCGGCGGCGGCGGCGGCGGCGGCGGCGGCAGCAGCAGCAGCAGCAGCAGCAGCAGCAGCAGCAGCAACAGCAGCAGCAGCACAGCCACCATCACCACTACCAGCACCCACCTGCCTGTGTACGTGCCTACCAGCACCGGTGGTGGGGCGGGAGAGGGCCATGCCGAGCACAGCAGGGTCGGAGGTATCCGGGTGGAAATACACGGCCGTGACGAGCGCTCTCAGGTAGCGATACACATGCCTCGACACCCACACACGGTCGGTGAGACATATTCACGGAATTCCTAAGAAAAGTACCAGCACAAACACCAGCACCGGCACCACCAGCAGCAGCAGCAGCAGCAGCAGCAGCAGCAGCATTGGCACCAGCAACAAACAGCAGCAGCACTTCCAGAATCTACCTGCCTCAGTTTCGAGCCTACCAGCAACGGTGGCGGGGCGGGAGAGGGCCATGCCGAGCACAGCAGGGTCGGAGGTATCCGGGTGGAAATACACGGCCGTGACGAGCGCTCTCAGGTAGCGATACACGTGCCTTGACACCCACACACGGTTGGAGAGACAAATGCTTGAGGCTTCTCAAGAAAAGAACCAGCGCGAACACCAGCACCGGCACCACCAGAACCAGCAGCAGTAGCAGCAACAGCAGCAAAACTACCAGCACGTACCTGCCTCTGTTCACAGCCTACCGGCAACGGTGGTGGGGCGGGAGAGGGCCATGCCGAGCACAGCAGGGTCGGAGGTATCCGGGTGGAAATACACGGCCGTGACGAGCGCCCTCAGGTAGCGATACACATGCCTCGACACCCACACACGGTCGGTGAGCAGCAGAGCAAACTCATGGTCCGATGCCGGCCACCATGCCTCCACCCACTGCGCCTGCGAGCCTGCGCTCACTGACCTGTAAGTGTGAAGCAGGAGGGAGAAGAGGGGCCAAGTGAGGAAGTAAATGAGGGAGAAGACACCCACACACGGTCGGTGAGCAGCAGAGCGAACTCGTGGTCAGACGCCGGCCACCACGCCTCCACCCACTGTGCCTGCACTTGCACTCACTGACCTAGAAGTATAAAGCAGGGAGGTGTGATGAGCTGCGAACGTGTGCGTGAATGAAGAAACACCAGAAATTCCACAGCCTTACACGGTGTCCCGAGCGTGAAAAAGAACACCAAGAAATTCAAAAGGCGCACCTGTAGTGCACGTCCTTGAGTCCATGCAGCCATGGGAAGGCATCCACATAGTTCAACACTGCCCTCTTGAGGCGCATCAACAGTCAAAGACCGACACTACATGCGCCTTAAGAGTCAAAAACTTCACACAGCATCTCAAAAGGCGTACCTGTAGTGCACGTCCTTGGGCCCATGCGGCCATGAAAAGGCATCCACATACTCCAAGACTGCCCTCGCCCTCAAAGGCCCTTTTACCAACCACAGCAGTAGGATAATCATATAAATGCCTGGACAACACACACCTGTAGTGCACGTCCTTGGGTCCATGCAGCCATGCGAAGGCATCTACATACTCCAACACTGCCCTCGCCCTCGCCAGCCGCACTGCCACCTCTGCAGCTGCACTCTCCTCCTCTCCACTGCCAGCAGCAGCAGCAGCAGCAGCAGCAGCAGCAGCAGCAGCAGCAGCAGCAGCAGCAGCAGCACCGTCACGACGACCACCACCACTGTTGGTACTGCCAGCAGTAGTGGCAGCGTTGGCAGCAATGGTGCTGCTCCTGCTGCTGCTGCTGCTACTGATGAAGTCGCTTTTACTGCTAGCCTCCGTTTCTTCATCTGCTTCTCCCTCTCGCAATCTCAACTCCCGAGCACGTCTCTCCGCCTTGTCCGTAACACCGCGCCTGCTCCTTCTGTCTGTAGCATCACCATCACCCTCTCTATCACTATCAGCATCAGCATCAGCATCAGCCGCCCCATCATCTCGTCTTTGCCTTTGCCCTCTGCCTCCACCTTCCCTCCCCACTTCCCCTCCTCTTTCTCCTCCATACGCGTTATAGAGAAAGTGGTCTACAAACACGTGCAGGCGGACAATATCGCCGTCGTAGTCAACAGCTGCAAGAGATGAGAGCGTGCGAGAAACGGAAGCGAGGTCGTTGCGGGAAGAGACGAGCAGCTTGATTCGCAGCTGAAACGGCTGAGGGGAGTCCACCAGACGAGTCTGTTCACATGCACACAGGGACGCACACCCACACACAGACGTACGCACACACAGACGCATGCACACGCACACAGGCCACACAAGACACACGCACACAGGCCACACAAGACACACGCACACGCATTCACAAGCACAAGCTCGCATACGGTAAGAGGTTGGAGGGGGGTGGGAGGGAAGGGCCGTTAGGTGGGGAGAGGGGAGGAAAAGGCAGCTCCCTTTTACTCGGCCAGCAACAGGAAACTCAAACGTAGGAAGATCTTGAGGCGCCTCAATGGTTAATTGCTTCACTTGCACCACTAGTTTCACTTGCGTCACTCACACACAATGGGCCAAGCACTGCTGCTGCTACCAGCGTTGCTAATCTTTTAGTTTACTCAAAAAATCGTTCAGTCATTCGTGTCACTTGCATCACTCACACACCTTGTTAGGAAGGTCAGTCGTGAGAGGCAGAGGGCACCCAATGGGCCAAGCACTGCTGCTGCTACCACCGCCACCTCTCCCGTCCCCTGCACCCCCTCCACCACCCACCGCCGCCGCCGCAGCTCCCACTCTCGCAGTCTCCCGGATCAAAGTTTCATGAATTTCCGCCTGATACCCCACCAGACCCAGCACCAGCACAAGAAGCAACAAAGATCCTAGCGTAGATAGCCCATTCTGAACCAGCTTATGCATACCCATCGCTCCTCCTCCGCTCCCACCACCACCACCACCAATACCAATGCCAATTCCTCCCCCACCTCCTCCTCCGCCTCCTCCTCCTCCCCCTCCCCCTCCTGCTACCCCTAACCCAACGTTCCTGTGGAAACTACTCCCGCCGCTTAGACTAAACCCGCTGCCGCCACTGGCACTTAAACCGGCTCCTAGGCCAGGATCCCTCCTAGCTAAGTGCCAGGAGGAGTGGGAAATCGGGTTCCCGGCACCAGCGCTGCTGCCATGGGGGGGAACAAGTTCCAATCCCTCCTCTCCGCAACCTACGCCGCCTGTCACGCCTACACCTAGTTTCTTCTGCCGGCTGCGGCCTGCGCTGCGGCCTGTGGCGGTCGCGACGGCGGTAGATCCGGAGAGGAAGGAGAGCATCGCGCGGTGCGGGCTGGTGGCGTGGACGGAAGCGCCGTCGGACGCGTGGGCGGAACGAGACTCGGCGCGCAGAGGCATCGTTGGTGGAGGGTGGAGCTACGATGACTGACGGTGACTCTGACGGTGACTCTGACGGTGACTGTGACGGTCGCTGTGACGGTGACCGAAAATTGACTGAGACGCCGAGTCGAATCGATGATTGGACAAACGGAAGAGACGAAGCGGGAGGGGAAAGGGAGTGGAGAGAAGGGGGAGAAGGGGGAGCTAGCGGGAAAAGGATCTGCACTGCAAACGCAGAGCCTGGGTAGTGCGGAAGAATAGTTTGAAAAAAATTCTCAAGCAGAGAAGCTGACAGATCACAATGAACAAAGAAATGCTGGCCGCTTGAAAAGGCCGAAATCAGCCCGCCGTTCCCATGCTATTCATCCCACGACAACTCCCGCCGTGCTCGCGAAGGCTGCAAAGCGCGTCCTTTTGCAACGGAAGCTTTCAAACCAGCGACTTTGCAGGTTTGCCGAATAGCCGATGGTATCATACGCGTGGAGCCGCTGAAAGCGACTATGGCTGAGCTGAGGTAAGCCATAGCACCCTACTGGTGGCAGATCACATTCTTGATGGTGATGATAGCGGGGACGGATGGCGACAGCACGCATCAGCCAGTGGCTGGAATCCTTGCATGATGGATGAAACAAATGCAGGTATAGATTGTTATTGAATAGACAACCAACCTTCATAACTTTGCAAATAATTCATTTGCAAGATTGATTTAGCCCCTGTATATCACTGTCACCATCAATGGCTGACAGGTAAATATGAAATTAGCCTCTGTTTTTCGCACGTGATGTAGAATTGTAATACGTTAGTTTGCAGCAGCTCATAATCTTATCTATGTTACACTAAATTCCCACCAATTTTACTCATTACGAATTTAAGCATGCCCTTATTAAGATCCATTTATAGCAATAGAGCAATTATTTTGGCTTTCTTCATGTAAAAAGTTGCTAAAGATGGAGCAGGGCTTTTAATTTTCTAGGGAAAAATACAAAGAACAAGCTTGCCAGTGTTTGCTACCTTTTCTCAACGTAAAACAGAAAAAGTAGATCATCACTGATTTCAACCATATAACAAGGACCTAAATATTACAATAAACTAATAGAAGAAAAAACACTGGTTCCAACCGTATGTTTTTTAAGCCTACTATTGTGGTGTGGTGTTCCATAAACAATAACAGCCCTGGTAAGAATATATCAGAGTAGTAACTGGGATTCCATGTAGTATTACTTCCTCCGCTAATAACATGAAGCTGTGTGGCTCAAATGAATTCCCTCGCTAAGATCTAGCGGCACACCTACATGTGGAAACATCAGGCAGGTGGTACAGTACGTCAAGTGAAGTCGGACCGAGCTTGTCTTGAGGCAGAGCGTAGGCGACGCTGGCAGCTGTGTCGACGACGACACCTGCCATCCAACCAAAGCAGCTTTTGCCATCCAGCCATGTGGCGGTTGTGGAAACTGCTAGAGTCTCGTTTGGAGGAAAACCGTGGGGCCAATTGGGCCTTAGGACGTGGACCAGACCGCTACTGATCGGCTCTGATCAGGTCGAGTCGAATCGGATCGAGTCAGGTCAGATTGCAGTGCCCGCGCCGCCCGATCGATTAAGGATTTCGGCGAAGTTCTAGTAAGGCTGCATGGCAATTGCTTCGTCATCACCTGGTGATTTCGCAGCATAGCGAGATGTGGCGAAAAAACGAGGTTCTCGTCATCAACATTGTGACCACCGCGAAACCGTCATGCAAGAGAATTTCGCCCACTTTACTGTGCTTTCGAGGTGGAAACGACTTCTGCGCGAGAAAGTAACTTGTCGTGGGGTTCGTTCAAGGCACCCAATCGCTGCCGATCGGTAGATCTCTAAAGATATACACGGATCTCGATCGATCGAGGTAGATCGGTGCGATAGATTGAGATGGGTCGACCCACCGATCGCGATCGACAGATTGCTCCCGATTGCCTCGATCGATGCTCCTGGTTTCTAGGAATTTACAAATCGCGATCGATCGGGGCGATCGATCGGGTGTGGTCCACGTCCTTAGGGCTCGCCTCGCCAGGCCAATTGTGAGCAGTCCCTCTTCTGTCAGTCACCCTCGCACCGTTTGCCCTGACGACGATCCACCCACACGGGGGCAGTGGAAAGGGGGTCCAAAATTCTTCCTTGGATCACCCAAATCTCCAGTGAAGCAACCGAGAAAGTAGCAAACATTTTCAAAAAGATTATCAATATATCACGAACAAAGTGGATGTTACGCCTCATTTAGAGTTCCTCTCTCCCCTTTCTTGTTTGTTTGTTTGTTTTCTTTCTCCCTGGTGCAAGAAACAAAGAATGTGTACTCTAGCACTGTTTGGTTTGGATAGATCGTATCGTCACACTGTATCGCCCATTAGAATCGCATCCAATTGCATCCCAACGAATATCCAACTCATCCTAGTGGACACACGCGAAGTAACATCGTATACGACATCGTAACGGTAGGCGTCCAAGCGAAATGTACGCGTTTGAAAGAGGACCATTTGGTGTGCCCCTTCCCATTAGTCCTGTGTCTCATCACCGACAGTTTTGAGTACCCTTCCATCCGTACCTCCCTCACCTCACCTCACCTCAACGTCCGCCCTGAACCTAATCCGAGCCTCAAACCAAACAGTTTCCCGGGCCGGGCCAAGCACCAAGCCCAAACCGTACAGCTCAGAGCGGAAGGGGCCGTGACGTCATCGCTTCATGTCGTTGTCGAGGCCGGGTTCCTAACCTCGAGCTTCTCTCACCATGCCTCGCTTGGCCTTGGTATTTGCGAGTTGGGCAGCCAGCCATTGGGACTGCACTGCAATTGCTTTTGTGGTTATTATTTACATTTTCTGCATCCATGCTGCTGCTGCTGTTGCAGCGAGAAGCTTGCTGGGACGCGGACATCCTCACGTCGACTCAGCACTTCGGTGTGCCGGTGCACTCTCGCAACGAGCGAAATCTGTTGCAATGGCGGTTGGAAATTAACACCAGGAAAGAAATGCTGCTGTAATGCAGTTCTACTAGCCGCCACGGGTTGCGGATCTTGGTGCTTGTCTAGTGTCTAGTAACATCGAAACCTCCATATGTCTTGGTGTCTAGTGTCTTCCGCTTTCCTAAGCTCTCGTAAGTCTGGGTACAGCGAAACCGTCCTCCCAGTGTTTCTTACTTCTTAATCCACGCTGCGTCGCGATTGCTCCCGCTTTGTCGGCTTCCTTTGAACCGACCTGACAATTTTTTCAGACCCTTTTTGAACTGACGTCGTCATATCTACCAGCATATAGCCATACTTTCCACCAGCTCCTACTAACACTAATCATTAATTTATGGCCACCCGGAGAATCCATCACCAGCAGCAGCCACGTCAGCAACCAGCCACAACCGCACCTGACAAACCTCATCGTTCCAAGTCCGCGTCACCATTCCCTCCGTCTAATTCCGTCACAGAATCTACGAGTCGTAACTTAAAGCCTTCTCTGAAGTCCTCCAATCGCCGACAGACTCCGTCCCAGTCGTCGTCGGCCTCGTTGCAATTCGCCGACAGCGACGCCGGCGGCGGCGGCGGCGGAGGCGGCGGCGGTCGTGGGAGGGGAGGAAGCAGCGGTGGAGCGAGCTTCGCGACGGGGGGAAAGTCGGTGGTTTGGAACGAAGAGAGTGCTTACACCGCCGGCGGTGGTAACGGCGGTGACGACTACGGTGACGATGGTGTTGAGTACGGTGCGGAGGCGGGCCCTCCGCCGCCGGTGAATCGAACGCAAAGCGAGACGACTCGTCAGGCGACCCATAGCGATTCCGACTCGAACCCACCTGAAGTGCGACGCACGAGAAGCGATTTGATTAGAGTCGGCGCCGGCAAAGGAATACAGAAAAGTGCTCGCGGCCGGCCGGGTCCGGACAGTAGAGACGGACCAGCAGGTGGTGCTGACGGTCGCGGTAGTGTTGACGGCTACGGAGGCTGGTCGCAGCAGGTCCCGTATCAGGGCTCGACGCAGTATGAGGAACCTTCGTACAATAACGAGCAATACGGAGGGGGAGAGATGAATGGGTACCATGACGAGTGTTCTTACAGTGAAGTCGGTTCGCAATGGTCGGGAATGGAGCAAGAGGACTCGCTTCCGACCGTCCAGAAGACAAAGCCTAAAGCAAAGGCGAAAGTAAAATCTAAAAAGACTCAACAGCAGAAATCACAGCAGCAGCAGCAGATGCAAGGTATCGTAGTCGACTTTTCGCATATGGACCCGTATTCTAACCCCAATCAGGCTTATACAAAGGGAGGTGCGGGTAAAGGGCCGCCGGGGTCTGGTGAGATGGGGCACGGTGGCTCTCGGTTGAGCTACCAGCCGTCGCCGCGGCAGCCGCCGCTTCCGTCCCCCATGGGGCAAGGCGGGGGAGGCGACAGCTGGGGTAGCTACCAACAGCAACAGTACCAGCAGTACCAGCAGCAGCAGCAACAGATGCAGCAGCAGCAGCAGCAGCAGCAAGCGTATCAGCAGGCGGCGATTGTGTCACCTTCGTCTTCGTCGGACCATTCAGGATTCCAGCTGCCGCCCATGCCGGCACCAAATCAAAACAAGCTGCAGCAGCAGCAGCAGCAGCAACAACAATACTACCTGCAGCAGCAGGAGCAGGCGCATGCGGCGCAGCAGCAAGCGCCGCAGCAGCCGTTAGGACAGAGGGCGAGGCAGTCGGTAGACGCGCACACGGCCGCAGCGGCGCAGCGCGCCATTGCCGCGCGGAAAGCCCGCCAGAGCGAGTTCGGGCCCCCCACCGCCCCTGCTGCGCACACCCGCTGCGGCTCCCCCCCGCCCCTGGACCCCGCGGGGACCTCCTGCGGGAGTGATATCGGCGTTAATGTGGGGCGGGGGACGGTTGGCGGAGCGGGCGGAATGGGCGGAATAGGCGGAGGGGGGAGAGGGGGAAGCGGAATGGGCGTGCAAGAGGCGGATTGCGGGAGGGTGTTTCCTTTAAGCTCGTCCAGTGAAGACGATCGGGTAAGCTGTCGTCAGTGCTGCATGTAATGTGCCGTCTGTCTGTCTCGCCTATCTTGTCTGTTCCTCCTTTTTGATTGGCTGCGTGAACGCGTTGTGTTTCCGCAGCCGCGTTCAGTCCACCGTCGTTTCTTTCAGAACCGCCTTCTTCAATCCCTTTTCATGCAACCACTCTGTGTGTAACCCTATCCAACCGTGCTGGTGGTAACCCTATCCAATCTTGCGTGTGGTAACCCGTTGTGTCTCTACTCCAGGCGCAACAGGAGATGAGAGAAGGCAGCATGACTGCGGATGGAGGAGGGTGGGGAGAAGGGGGAGGAGGGGGAGTAGGCGGGGGAGGGGGAGGGGTAGCGGAAGGAGGGGCAGGGGCGCTGTCAGTTGTAACGGGCCGTCCGCCGTCCCCGCTAAGCTCACGGCGGCCGCCTTTGGGTTCCCCTGTGGCGACCGGTAAGAGCAGTGGGAGCAAGAAGACGAAGGAGAAGGACAAGGTAACGAAGAAAAAGGTCAAGAAGAAACAACCCACAGCAGGGGCAGAAGAGCATTACGACCAGCAGCAGCAGGAGCAGTGGCAGCAGCAGCAGCAGCAGCAGCAGCAGCAGGAGTTGCAAATGCAAGGGTACATGGAGAGGGAAGGGGGTGAAGGGGCGGAGGGATACGAGGCTGGAGGGGATTATAATGCAGAGGGTGGGTATTCTGGGGAGAGTAACGAGTGGGGTAGTAACGAGTCAAATACTCAGCAGTTTAATTCTAGCTATGGGGAGGGACGTGATGCTTATGGACAGGAGGCGGTACAGAATGAGTGTAACGAGGGGGGTTATTATAACGAGCAGGGTTACGATGAGTATAATGGTGGGGCTGGGCGCGGGGAGGAGGGGGGTAATGGCGGAGCGGTGGGTGAGTGGGCGGAGCAGAAAGGCGAGGGGAACCGGTATCGGAACGGGAATGGGGGCGGGGGCGGGGGCAGGGGCGGGAGCGTGAGCGGGAGCGGAAGCGGGAATGGGAGTGGGAACAAGAAGCAGAGCAAGAACAAGAGCAAGCCAGGTCCTCCGAGACAGCTGGATACAGGTGGAGGTGGTGGTGCATATGGTGAGCCTGACTTCTCTGAAAACGGAAGAGGCGGATATGGGAATGGGAGTGATGGAGGAGTTGCAGGGGAGGGGTATGGATACGGGTATGGGCGTGGGGTTGGGGGTGGGGGTGGGATGGGAGGTTTGGTGCGGGGCGGGAGTGGGAACTGGAGTGGGGTTGGTGAAGGGATGGCGTATCAAGGGCCGCCTGGGCGAGGGTATGGGCTGATGACACCGTCTGGTAGGCCACCGATGCTGATGCAGCAACAACAACAGCAGCAACAGCAGCAGCAGCAACAGCAGCACCAACAGTTACAATACCAGCAACAGTATCAGCAGCCTCTGCCTCCCACTCCCATGCAGCAGCAGCAGCAGCAGCAGCAGCAGCAGCAGCAGCAGCAGCAGCAGCAGCAGCAGCAGCAGCAGCAGCAGCAGCAGCAGCAGTTGCTGCAGGCACAGAATATGTATCACCTCTCCACGCCCCATGCTATGGGACCAGCAGGAGGAATGCCCGCAGGCTTGCAGCAGCAGCAGCAGCAGCAGCAGTATCAGCAGCAGCAGCAGCAGCAGCATGCGATGATGCAGCAGCAGGGAATGCAGCAGGAGCAGCAGCAGCAGCAGTGGCAGCAGGAGCAGGCACAGCAGCAGGTTCCGCAGCTACAGCTGCAACTGCCGCCGCTGCAATCCCAGCGCTCCCTCTCCTCTACAGCATCCCGCAGCCTCTCAGAGGCGACAAGCAGGGGCGGAGGGAGCTTCAACGAACGCAATGAGCGCAACAACCAGAGCCAGATGCCCAACCAGAACCAGATGCAGATGCCGAACCAAAGCCTGATGATCCCAACACCCAGCTTCAAGGAGAGAAACCAAGGGCTGGGGGGACCTGGGGGGCCCGGGGGGGCTGGTGGGGGGGCTGTTGGGGGACCTGGGGGACCAGGGGGACCAGGGGGGGCACTGGCGCAGCAGCAACAGCAGCCGGTGCCTAGGGGTGTGCGGCGCGTGCAGTCGAGCAGAGATGCGGCAGGGTCTCGTGTGGTTGCTGTCCCTATGACCCCCAGCGGTGCCTCTCAGATCGGTGGGCAGGCTAGTAGTAGCTTTGGGCAGTTTGGGTTCAGTGGTGCTCCAGGCAGTGAGAGCGGAGGAGGCGGAGGAGCAGGGGGAGGAGGGGGCGGAGTAGGGGTAGGGGGAGGAGGGGGAGGGGTAGGAGGAGGGGGAGGAGGAGGAGCAGCAGGAGCTGGGGTGTTTCGACGCATGGGATCAGCAAGAATGGCAGGTGGTGGTGGTGGTGGTGCTTCTGCTTCTGCTTCTGTGGGCGGACCTGTGGCTGCTGGGACGCCGCTAGCAGGAGTGGGAAGCTCCTCCTTCCGCCGCAGACCCGCAGGAGAAGCTTCGGGTCCTGCTGCTGCTGGCGATGCAGAAGAGGCGAGGCCGCCAATGCGGAGGAGCTCGACAGGGGGGGAGCAGTACCGGCGGAAGATCTGGGTGAACGGGCAGGCCGTTCCGGACCAACGCGTCGTGCAGGCGGAACAGAGGATTGGTCCTATCGACCCGGGGAAATACTGGTAAGCATGTGGGAGAAGGGGGGGGGGGGGGGGGGGGGGGGGGGAAGGAGGGGGGGTTCGAGGCGCCTCTCCCGCCTGACCAGCGCATCGTGCAGGCAGAGCAGAGGCTTGGTCCCATCGACCGGGGAAGTACTGGTAAGCACAGGGAGTGTTGGGGAAGGGGGGATTGGGGTGGGAAGAGTTTTGAGGACGTGGTAAAAGTGTTGGATCGATCGCCTCAGGATCGTTTTCTAACGCGGTTGTAAAAGGTTGTGTACTTTCTGTATGCGAAAAGCGGGATTTCAGTGCGGTAGCGGAATCGGTACTTCCCCAATTGAGCACTTTTACCGCGTCCTGAGGCGCCTCCAAAGCCTGGGCAGCAAGTTGTGCAGGCGGAAACAAGGTGGAAAGGGTCAAAACCATCGACTTGGGGAGATACTGGTAGGCGTAGGGGGCTTGTGGGGAAGGGGAGAAAGGGGGAAAGGCGGGGAAGTATTGTATAGTTGAGGTTTTACCAAGGTAGTTGGCAGCAAGGGGTAGTTGTGGGATTGCTGATGCGTGTGGGGAATGTGGTTAACGGGCATGTGGTTTGAGGTCGGGTTTGAGTGAGGAGGCACACAGCATGCATGGGAGTAAGAGTAAGTTTCGTCCGTCGGATGCGTTTTGGGGGCTGTGAACACTTGTAAATGCTTGAAAACATTAGAGCACTAAAAAACGAGAGTGAAAAAACGAGCTCGCTATCACGCGACAGACCAACGCGAGAGTCTTGCCTGTAGAAATCTCAAAACAGCAACTTCGATTTTGGGTTGGGACTCCCCTTGTCTTATCTTGTCTCCCGCTGCATGCGCCCTTCCCTCCAATTTCCACCCAACAGGTACGACTCTAGAGCAGGCTTTTGGGGAGTTGTGGGTGGGCCATCGCTTGGTGTGTACTTTTGAGGCTCCTCAGAAGTAGGCTCCCTCTCTTATCCTGTCTCCCGTCGCATGCCCTTTCCTCCCTTTCCCACCCAACAGGTACGACTCTAGAGCAGGCTTTTGGGGAGTTATGGGTGGGCCATCTCTTGGTGTTTTGCCGGTATGTCTCCTTCTCCTTCTCCTTCTCTCTCTCCCACTCCCTCTCCCACTCCCATTCCGTCCCTCACTCCCTTGCTTGCCTGCCGCTCTGCCGCTCCTGCATCCCCCACGTCAGCCGTCCAGTCTTTCCCCCATCGTGTCCATTCCACGCGTGTTTTGCTGCTGCTTTCCCCTTTTTCCATTCCAACCCACCTTAACAAACTGGTCACGTGCTCTCACTTTTGAGTCGCTTTGACATAAGAGATTGGATGCACATGCAAAACCTGCGTTCACCACACTCTCGCAGAAATATGTTTTCTGAGGCGCCTCAAAAATAAACTTGCACACCTGCACTCACCACACTCCCTCGAATATGGTTCCTATCGTGGCATCATTTTTTAGGCGCCTCAAAAATCACCACATTTCTTAGACCTCGAATGCGTCTTCTATTGTTGCTTTAACTCTCCACAAAGCCTTCTGATTACAGGTTTGACAACCGCCCTCTTAACCGGCCTCCCCACTCACGCTCCCCTCTGCCTTCCTCCCCAACCACCATGCCCTTCCTCCCTGTTTTCACTGCTCCTTGCTCCCCTTCCCACCATCTCTCCCCCTTCCTCTCCTCCCCCTCACCGCAACCCCATTCCTCGACAGGCATTCATGCACGAGTTTGGAAACCCCAACCTCCATCCCATGGAGAAGGATTGCTCTGGGAGCATATTTTTGAGATGCCTCACATATTGACACTCCCCTCGTCCCCCTCTCCCCATCTCCCCTCCCCCCCATCAACAGGCATTCATGCACGAGTTTGGAAACCACCCCATGGAGAAGGACTGCTCCGGAGCGTTCTCCTGAGATGCCTCAAATGTAGACTTCCCACCGTTCCACCCCCTCCCCCTCCTCCCCCCCCTCCTCCCATCAACAGGCATTCATGCACGAATTTGGTAACCACCCAATGGAGAAGGACTGTTCTGGAGCCGGCGGCAAGACTCGGGTGTATGTGAACGGGCGGGAGGTGCCTAAGAAGGAGTTGACTGCGTTGACCAAGAAGGGCCTGCTGCACCTGCCGGGGGCGAATTACACTCTTGAGGCGGATGGCACGGTGGTGGATAACGTGTCGGGCAAGGCCATGCGCTCCATTGGGAACCTGTGAGTGGATTGGAGGGGATGGGTGGATGGGTTGATGGGGGTGGTGGGAGGGGCAAGGGCGAAGAGAGGAAGGGACAAATTCCGGGCTTAGAATGACGGAGGTGGATGGCACGGTGGTGGATAACGTGTCGGGCAAGGCCATGCGATCCATTGGGAACCTGTGAGTGCATGGGTAGGTGGGTGGGTTTGTGGGGTGGGTGGATGGGGTTGGGAGGGGGAAGGGGGGAGAGGGGAGGCGGGGGAGAGGGGAGGGGACAAATTCTGGGCTAAGAATGACAGAGGGGGATGGCACGGTGGTGGATACAGTTTTGGGCAAGGCCATGCGCTCCATTGGGAACCTGTGAGAAAATGGGGTTAGAAGCGGGTAGAAGGTTGGTAGGAGGGGGGATGGATTCACTGCATGGCACAGAATAATAGTGGCAGGCTTTGGGGACGGTCTGAGGGAGGGAATTCATCTCAGTCAAGCATACATCTGTTGCAATTCTTATGTACTTCTCCTGTTCCCCCGCCCCCTCTCAACCCTTTCCCTCCCCCCCAACAAGGACCACGTTCCTGTATTCGTGTAATGACCCTACTTAACAGCACCCTCCTCCCCTTCACACCTTGCTCCCTGCACCTTTTTAGCTCCTCTGCTCCACACCTTTCGTTTACCTCTTTATTCTGCCTGCCGTTGACATCGTATCATATCGTATCGTATCGTATCGTGTCGTGTCGTATCATATCGTATTCCCCACCCCCTCTTCCCGTGTGGCTGGTAAATGTGGCAGGGTTGACGAAAAGAAGCGTGGAACGGGCATGTTCAACAAGGCAGGGTGATGAGATGATCACGCATGCTGCTGCTGTTGAGTTCGTTGAGGTGCCTCAAAAGGCATGGTGCTGCCCAGCTGTTGCAGCAGCAGCAGCTGCTGCTGCTAGTTCGGTTGCTGCTTCTGGAGCTGCTATGGTGGGGAGATGAACCTCCAGCTTGTGAAATAGAAACTCACAGTACCAGTACATGTAATTCTGGTCTGGGTCTGAGAGAGACAGAGGGGAGGAGAGGATGCAGTGCAATGCAACCTCTAACCTCTTTGGCGAATGTGATTACCCAGCTACTAGACTCATTTTTTTATGAGGATGCCTCCACATATTATGTCAGGTGGTGCGCTGTGCAATCAAAGCTAACAATGTAGCTCACGTTACATTGGTACTTCTGTGGCTCTAATTCTCATGCAGATTAATTACACGAATCAGCTATAATGATTGCGAAGCAACTTCTAGAAGCGTCATTAGATGCTCGGTAATACACCAAGGATCTCATTTGGCTGTCCCTAAGCAACGTGCCGAATCCAGTTTTTTCTTGGCTGACAGCATCAGCGGGCAAGAACAAGGACAAAGGGAACCTGGCAGGCGTGAGTGGCGTAGGCTGCTGAGCTAACAGCACATCCCGTGGATCATTGGATCTTGGATCCATAGCATTGCTTGCTTGCTGCACTTCACTGCACTGCACGCGATCGATTCTTCTCCGGCACGTTTGTAACAAAGCCTCGCGTTTCGTCGCGATAACCCCACCCCACCGCACACCCTGCCTTTCTCGAGACCATCGCGACTCGATCTCGTAAAAGTCACGAAACGGTTACCAGACGGAACCTCATAACTCGCGCGTTGGTAGTCTGAGTGAGTCGCGTGTGGTGGCGACCGGGAGGGAGTGAGCTGGCCCAGTTTCGACCATTTCAGAAAAGTAGCAGAATAGAGATATTAGAATAGAGATTTCACAATAGAAATTTCGGCGCGTGCGAGCCATGGCGTGTCTCGGATGGACTGGCATGGGTCCTCAGGAAACAGCGCTGCGGCTCGTCTCCGAAGCGTACTGCCCGCCGCCGGATTCCCCCATGAACGGTGCGTCGCGTCGCGTCTCGGTGCTTTGCGGTGCGGTGCATTGAGTTGCGTTGCGTTTCATTGCGTTGCATTGCGTTCCCTTACGGCGCTACTAGTACCCCCTTTCTCTTTCTCACCCTCTTCTCTCTCTCCCCCTACGGGCCCTCCCTTCCCCCCCGCTCCGCCCACCCGCCTTCCGTTCCCCTCGGCTCCCCTCCCCGCCGCGCCTGGCAGAATTCCTGTGCTTGAGCCACGTGGCAGGCGATCCGCTGGTGGGGCAGGCAGTGAGCGGCCCGCCGCCAAAGCTCACAGTGCTGCTAGTGGGCGACGATTCAACTGCCAAGCGCTCCTTTCTCGAGTGGTGCGCACTCCTCCATAATCTTGAATGATCTCGCTCCAAAACTTAGATATCTTGGATAACCTTGAATCGGATCACCGCTATTTGATATTTTCAAGGGGTGTACGTGTGTGAGTGAGTGTCGCGCCTACTTACATTTCTCCCTCCTCTTACACACCCTCATTACTCATCCCTCACACAACCCGTTTCTCCCATCCTCTCATCGTTTTCCAATCCTCTTTCTCGCCTCTCTCCACACTCTCTCCTCCTCTTACTCATACTCGTCATCCGCACCTACTCTCATCCACACGCCAGGTACACGGGAGAGAGCATTCCTGCAGCAACGGCAACCAAGCTTGCCACAGCCAACACCACCGGCACCAGCACCAGTAGTAACACAACTGGCACCATAAGCACCAGCACCAGCACTGGCACAGAGCCAGCCATTCGCGTGGTGACAAGTGGCAGCTGGAAGGACACTCTCACGGGCGAAGGCGCTGCTTCCGCCGTGCCTGGTGTTACCCGTGCTCTCGACCACGTGCCTGTACGCCTCACTCTCACTCCCTCTCTTGCGTTTTCAAAGAGCCATGTATGCATGCGGATGCTTGCCGTGCCTGTTGTTGCCCGTGCGCTCGACCATGTGCCTGTACGCCCACCTCTCACTCCTCTCTCTCTTGCAAATGCTACAAGTCATGTACGCACTCTCATGCTGCTTTCACTGACTTTTGAGTCGACTCAAAAGTCAGCTCTTACGAGACATCTAGGCACTCTGATGCTGCTTCTGCTGCGCCTGGTGTTGCCCGTGCTCTCGACCACATGCCTGTACGCCCCACTCTCACTCCCCTCACCTCCCCTCCGCCACATCCCACCCGCCCCTCTCCCCCCAGGCTGCGCGTGACCTCTTATCTGCACACGTGTGCATCTCCAAGGACCGCTACCTGCCCTGCATTGACTTCGTTGACCTGCCCTTACTTCTCCTTCCCCTCTCCCGCACCTGTCCTCCTCTCCCAGGCTGCGCGTGACCTCCTATCCGTGCACGTGTGCATCTCCAAGGACCGCTACCTGCCCTGCATTGACTTCGTTGACCTGCCTCTACCGAGTCTACCCCAATCCGCTGCGTCGCCCATCCCCCCACTCTCATCCGCCCCTGCGGGTGCTGCTCCCGCCCCACCAGCTGCTGCCAATGCTGCTGCTTTATCGGAAGCTACTGCTGCGCTTGGTGCCACTGCTGATGTGATCATAGGTATGATATGATGCTGCTGCTGCTGCGCTTGGTGCCAGTGCTGATGTAATTTTCGGTACGATATACTGCTGCTGCTGCTGAGCTTGAGAATACCTCTCAGATTCTCACAAAACACCTGCAGACCCTTTTAAGACTCCTTGAAATCACCCCTCTCCATCTCTCCCCCGTGCCTTCTCTTTCGCTCTGTCTGCATGACAGTGTTCATGAGTGTTGCCGCAATTTTGTGACTTTTTCGTCGACTTGAAAATCAGTTCCATCTTTTCCATTCCTTTCCCCCCCATATTTGTCTTCTTCATCCTGTCTGCGTGGCACGGCAGTGTTCATGAGTGTTGCGGCGGTTCGAGCTCCCTCCTCGCGCCTCGCCAACCAACTCGCCCTCCTCCTCTCTCCATCCAACACCCAGCAGCAGCAGCAACTGGCTGACAACACCCCTCGTCTTGACCGATTGCATTTTGTGGCCGTCCTACCTCAGGCATGGTTTTCACACCTCTCTCCGTTCATTCGCCATGTTTCCCTCCTTGTTTTTACTCAGCTCAGACCACCCCTCACTTGCGCAGCGTTAATTTATGCATTGTATATTTCGTGCTTCCCCTCCCACACACCCACCACCCGTGTTTGCCCTCTCCTTGCTTGCTCGCCTTCCTTCACTCCGTTGGGATTGGCAGAGCAAGGCAAGCGCAGCGGCAGCGGGCACAGCAGCAACGGTGGTGGATTACCTCCGATCCAACGTCAAGGTTGGCTCGTTAACGGTCACTTCCCGTTCCACCTGCACTCCCCACTCCACCCCATGTCATCATGTCCCCACTCCACCCCATGTCATCATGTCCCCACTCCACCCCATGTCATCATGTCCCCACTCCACCCCATGTCATCATGTCCCCACTCCACCCCATGTCATCATGTCCCCACTCCACCCCATGTCATCATGTCCCCACTCCACCCCATGTCATCATGTCCCCACTCCACCCCATGTCATCATGTCCCCACTCCACCCCATGTCATCATGTCCCCACTCCACCCCATGTCATCATGTCCCCACTCCACCCCATGTCATCATGTCCCCACTCCACGCCATGTCATCATGTCCCCACTCCACCCCATGTCATCATGTCCCCACTCCACCCCATGTCATCATGTCCCCACTCCACCCCATGTCATCATGTCCCCACTCCACCCCATGTCATCATGTCCCCACTCCACCCCATGTCATCATGTCCCCACTCCACCCCATGTCATCATGTCCCCACTCCACCCCATGTCATCATGTCCCCACTCCACCCCATGTCATCATGTCCCCACTCCACCCCATGTCATCATGTCCCCACTCCACGCCATGTCATCATGTCCCCACTCCACCCCATGTCATCATGTCCCCACTCCACCCCATGTCATCATGTCCCCACTCCACCCCATGTCATCATGTCCCCACTCCACCCCATGTCATCATGTCCCCACTCCACCCCATGTCATCATGTCCCCACTCCACCCCATGTCATCATGTCCCCACTCCACCCCATGTCATCATGTCCCCACTCCACCCCATGTCATCATGTCCCCACTCCACCCCATGTCATCATGTCCCCACTCCACCCCATGTCATCATGTCCCCACTCCACCCCATGTCATCATGTCCCCACTCCACCCCATGTCATCATGTCCCCACTCCACCCCATGTCATCATGTCTCCACTCCACCCCATGTCATCATGTCACCACTCCACCCCATGTCATCATGTCCCCACTCCACCCCATGTCATCATGTCCCCACTCCACCCCATGTCATCATGTCCCCACTCCACCCCATGTCATCATGTCCCCACTCCACCCCATGTCATCATGTCCCCACTCCACCCCATGTCATCATGTCCCCACTCCACCCCATGTCATCATGTCCCCACTCCACCCCATGTCATCATGTCCCCACTCCACCCCATGTCATCATGTCCCCACTCCACCCCATGTCATCATGTCCCCACTCCACCCCATGTCATCATGTCCCCACTCCACCCCATGTCATCATGTCCCCACTCCACCCCATGTCATCATGTCCCCACTCCACCCCATGTCATCATGTCCCCACTCCACCCCATGTCATCATGTCCCCACTCCACCCCATGTCATCATGTCCCCACTCCACCCCATGTCATCATGTCCCCGCTCTCACGGTCCCCATGTCTGCTTGAGTCTTATCGAGCCATTCTTTGTGTGTTGATCGGCCTTTCACATGTCACATGTGCCCATCCTTCGCCAACCCGTGACTGCTTATCCCTTCATGCATGCGTTCTCCCACCCACCTTCCTCTCCCACCCCCCTCTTCCTAACCACCACCACCACCACCACCACCACCGCCGCCGCCGCCGCCAGGAGCTGCATTCCCTGTCACCCGATCAAGTCACTCTCCTCCGACCGCCATCCTTCTCAGGCCCTGCTCCTGCTTCCACTGCTGCGGCTGCTCGGGCTGAGAGCAAGGACGCAGGCAAAGAGGCTGGGAAAGAGGAAGGGAAAGAGGCGGGTCCGCAAACATTCTCGTTTGTTGAAGAGATACTGGATAAGGTGTGTACGTGCCGTAAAAGGATATTCATGTTTTGAGGGGAGGGCCAGAAACGAAGGGGAATATCCACGGCTGGGACACTTTCAGAAATCGAGAGAAGAGGGGGAAGGGAGGAAAGGGGGTGAGGGAAGGAGAAAAGAAGCATCCCTCCTCCCCTCGCATCAGAGCAGGTAATATCTCTCCCAATGTTTCTCCATCTGTCCATTTGTCTGTTTGTGCAAACTTCCTCGCCTTAAAGTTACAGCATGGTTCTGTTCCTCTTGTAGTACGTTGGCTCTCTCACTAGTGCGCCCAAGTATGGCATGTGCATGCGCCCGTCACTACATGCATGCATGCATGTATACATGCGGTTGTCTGCTACCACAGGCAGTAAAAGCAGCAGTGGAGCAGCGAGTGGATCGGTTTGAGAGGGATGTGCGGCGAGTGAAGGCTGTTATCGACAGGTGAGTGTTTTCATGTAGGTACCTCACTCACATGATGCATGTCCACTACCCATACGCCACCATACGCCATGTGAAGCTTGCCGCATGTCCTTTGAGTCGACTCAAAAGTCGCCATGTGACGCTTGGCGCTTGTCCTTCCCATCATCTCTCTGCGCTGCTAGCACCTTCGCATGCCACATCTGCGCATGCCTGTTTAGTTCCTACCACACATACATGACAAGTTAAAGCCCCACGGCAGGGCCGAATGTGCGTTAAGCCATCTCGGATTGAAAGTGTGCTGCATGTGCACGTGTGCGAATTGTTTTGACCATGTGTCCTTGCAGCAAGCTTCAGGAGTTTCAGCAGGAGCAGGGCGAACAACGGCAGAGGTCAAAGCAAGGTACCATGAAATCGCGCATGGGGTGATGGGATCTGACGTGGCATAATGTGATGCTTCTGGCTTGAATAATCTGTTGACTCATAACACATGTTGTACGCCTCTCCAAGCATGTCCTGTCTTACCACGATGTCACTAGCCCTTCCTCTCACCCTTCATCTCTCTCTCCCTCTGTACCACCACCCACCAACAGCCCAGCGTTTACACGACACTGCATCGTCGCTCCTGCTTCCTCTCCTCGCACTGCTCATCCCTCTCGCCCTCTCCCTCATCATCTCCCCTCCTCCTCTCCTCCGTCACTTGGCAAACGTTGCTGCCGCCAAGGCACCACATCCTTCCAGCTGGGAGTTTCCCTCTTACGTCCCACCACAAGTCGCCTCCTCCATCACCACCGCCGCCTCTTTCCTAGTCGCCGAGACCCACCGAAATGTTCGCAGAAACAGCAGCAGCGGTCGCGTCCTCTGTCAATCTGCCCCCGTCCCTTGCTCCCGCGGCTGATATGCGCATTCAAGTGGCAGCTGTAGGCCTGCTGGTTCTCGCCTACCTTGTTTTGCACAGCTATGCTACTGTGAGTAGCACATGCTTCCTTTTTTCGCTCTTATTTCTTCTTCTTCGTTGATCAAAAGTCAGCTCAAAAAGTCACTTGGGCTTGCGCAGCTTTGCTCCTGTGAGTAGCACGAGACTCCTTTTCCCCTTTGCCTTCTTCTACCTCCGCACTCCACTCTCCCTCTCCCCTCTCCTCCCGCTCCCATACCTCCCCCTTTCCCCCCTGTCCCTCAGCCTGCATTCCCGCGCCCCCCTTTTTTCGACCCAGGAAACTTAAGTTCTTGAATATTCATCGCATGTAGTCTCTTGGTCTTTCGGGGCATTTCAGAATGCTGCATCTTTCTGTCTTCCCGTTTGATGCCTATCAGATACTGGACAGAGCGCCACCATCCGCTGCTGCATCAGACAGGAGCAAGCTACGGGTCTTCAAGGCCTTCTGTGACATGGCTCTCACCTTCTGTGGCGCCCGGCGCCTCTGAGTGAGGCCCGCATACTGCTTCTCTTTTGAGGCAACTAAAAATTACTGCATCGGGCAGGAGCAAGCTACGGGTCTTCCAGGCCTTCTGTGACATGGCTCTCACCTTCTGTGGCGCCCGGCGCCTCTGAGTGAGGCCCGCATACTGCTTCTCTTTTGAGGCAACTAAAAATTACTGCATCGGGCAGGAGCAAGCTACAGGTCTTCCAGGCCTTCTGTGACATGGCTCTCACCTTCTGTGGGGCGCGACGACCTGCCATGTAGTAAAAGCTTAGGGAGGCCTCTAACTTGCCTTGCCGGTGAGGCGCCTCAGGATTTTACTTCTGAGAAATAAGCAACTGGCTGGACTCTCTCGCCTTCTGTGGGGCCCGACCGAGGCTCTGCCGTGTAGCAACGGCTCAGTGAGGGCCGCGTGCCGTATGGTTTTGCACGTGCCTAAAAAGGTTGACTGCGGTGCATTTAATGCCCCTTTGGTAACTTGGGTGGTGGTGCGGCTCTTAAAATCACTTCAGATCAATGGTATTTGCGTGGTGTAGCGTGGCACCTCCAATGCCCTGCCATGTGTAGGATAGGCTGAAGGCAGTTGTTGAGGAGGGACCTCAAAGTGGCTCTCTTGCTGGATCGGCTCTTTGGTTACCACCAACACCAACCCTGCATGTCATTTAGTCAATTGAACGTAGCCAACCCTGCATGTCATTTAGTCAATTGAACTTAGCCAGCCCTGCATAACAAGAAGCAGATGAAGGTGAACGACGAGTACCTCAAGTCAAGAATCAGGCGCTAGCGCTGTGCTGCCATGACACAGTGCGGATTTAATGCTTCTGTAGGTATCTAACATACAGTGGTTCCTGCAGCCAGACCAGCAGCAGCAGGCTCTTCGAGGGAATCTGCAATCTATAAAACTTAAAGCCCCTCAACACACCAGTCCAGGCAGAGCAGTGCAAAGCGGTGCAGATCAATACAGAGCAGTGCAGAGCGGTGCAAACCAATGCAGAGCTGTGCAGAGCCACTGAGTGGTATCACCTGGCTGCCCTCCCATTCTTCCATCTTAAAATGACTTGGTCATAAATTAATCGCAGAACGCAGAACCCGTCTCATCCTGTCTCTGCTCTCCTCACCCCACCCTCTCCCCGCGCACCTCCTCCTCCTCCTCCTCCTCCTCCTCCTCCTCCTCCTCCTCCTCCTCCTCCTCCTCCTCCTCCTCCTCCTCCTCCTCCTCCTCCTCCTCCTCCTCCTCCTCCTCCTCCTCCTCCTCCTCCTCCTCCTCCTCCTCCTTCATCTCCCAACCCACCCTACAGGCACAAGTGGGTATGGTATCTCTATCCACTCAAGCCGGTGTCAAGGAGAAGAGAAAAGAGGCGAGATGAAACTGCAAGCTGTTCCCCTGTGCGCCTCCCCCCATGCTCTCGATAATGCCCTTGACTGATGCGTACGTGCCGGCTACTGCACAGACGAAGCCTATGCTTATGAGGAGATAGCACAACAGGTGCTGGGGAGAGGGAAAGAAGGGAACAAGGAGAGGACAAATAAGGAGGCAGGATGGCAGAAGAAGATTGGGGACATAGAAAAGAGGGGGAGCAATGAGGAATGGTAAGGCACAGCATGGCATGGTATGGGGAATGGTATGGGGAATGGTATGGCATGGTGTGGAATGGTATGGTATGGTATGGTATGGTATGGTATGGTATGGTATGGTATGGTATGGTATGGAAATGTGGGCTTTTGTGTCCAAATTGTTCAGCAGCTTAGGTTTTGGAAAATTGGGTTTCGGGTTCGAAATTGGGGTTTAGGGGCTGATGACACACCTGAGAGAGTGTGGCTTTAGGCCCAAGGATGCGAAGGTAGCAGGCACAGGGCAGCATGACAGACTGCAGTGGGAGAGCCAACACAGCGGCAAAGGCGCGAGAGGGAGGGAGATAGAGACGTGGAGGCACACAGGAGAGAGACATGGGTGATCACACGGAGGAGCATGTTATGGTGAGGAGTGATGAGCAATGAAGAGCGATATTGATAGTAAAGAGGAACCTTGTCAATTAGAATGAAATTGCTTGGTGGTGGCAGGATAATGGAATGGAATGGAGTGGAGTGGAATGGAATGAACAGGCATGAACAAGCTTGCTCTTTATCTTGCACTGCGGCAAGCAAGGGTCATACGTATCATACAGGGAAGGAGAGGGGTGCACGTACCACTGTCATGCTAAGAAACGAACCAATGAATGCCATCACGTAACCTGCATACACACAGAGAGGAAAGAGATGCACAGGTCGTTGCAGCACGAGGTGGGAGCGGAAAGGAAGAAATCGGCTCGAAGAAAGAAGCGGCAGCAAGAAGGAACAGCAGAAACTCAGCTGCAGAAGGGGGGCATGGAAGGAGCAGCAGCTAGTAGAAAAACGAGTGCGATTCAGGAGAAATCAGCGCTAGCAAAGAGAGCAACTGTGAACCAGCAGCGTGGACACTAACTATTCCACGAAAGAAGCGCCTCCGGAAAGAAATTACACAGGATTCTCACCGAAGAAAGGCACGAGTAGGGCTACAGCGACAGTGGAGACGATGAGTGCAGTGCGGATGGTGAGGGATGCCCGGCGGTAGTCTGGAGAGTACGGGAGCTCTAAAGGGAGGAGCTCCTCCAGACACAGCGCCACTGGCATTATGGAGAGCGCGTATGTGCTTGGGGGGACGCGGCGATGGTATAGAGTCACCTTCACAAAGATTTACCTCAGCAAAGAAAGGCACCAAGATCCTCACCACCAGAGAGCGGCACGAGTAGGCGTCTCACCAAAAAAAGGCACGAGTAGGTGTCTCACCAAAAAAAGGCACGAGGAGAGCGACAGCGACAGTGGAGACGACGAGTGCAGTGCGGATGGTGAGGGATGCCCGGCGGTAGTCTGGAGAGTACGGGAGCTCTAAAGGGAGGAGCTCCTCCAGACACAGCGCCACTGGCGTCATGGATAGCGCGTATGTGCTTTGGGGGAATGCCGAACGCAAGAGGCGACGGTCATGAGATTATATGATGGTGGTATGAAGGAGATGGGGGTTACGTATGCAAGGAGATGGGGAGAAGGTGGTGGGGGAGAGGGAGGGGAAGGGGGGGGGGGGGGGGGGGGGAAACGGAGGGAGGGGGAAAGGGAGGAGGAAAAGGAGGAAGGTGTGGATGAAGCGGGTTCAGGAAGAGAGGTCAGGGAAAGGGGACAATGAGGAAGAGGGCTGGGTGGGTTAAGGAAAACGGTGAAGAGTGTACACAGGGTAGGGCGTGAGAGTATACTAGGAGTCATTGTAAAAAAACGTTGTAACAAGTCGATGTAACACAACGCAGCACGATGTGCTACCTAGGAGAAATGGCAAAGCGGACGAATTCAGTGGCATTGACACGACTGCATGGCAGAAAAGAAAGAAAGAAAAAGACAGCAGCATGCAGGGAAGAATTTGTGAATGAAGATGGGTGGAGTGGAGTGGAGTGGAGTGGAGTGAAGCGAAGCATCAGCAGGAGGGGTGACTGGATGGGTCGCATGAGAGGATATTTGGTGAAGGGGTTGACAACCTGCCATGGAGTCACAAGAGAGGTGAGGAGGAGACGGGGAGGGGGACGAGCGAAGAGGAAAGGGGGAAGAGGAGGGGTGGTGGGATGAATGTAGAGGGACACTGGAGGAAGTAGAACAGCTGGGTGGTTGGATGGGTGAGAGACGGTGGGCGGGACAAAGGCAGGTAAAAGCAGATATGGAACGGCCAGGCGGGCTCACAGTGGTCCAGTCCAGATGGCAGGTTTAGAGGCGGTGGAGGGGCGGGTTGAACTTGAGCGTCACCTGATTCTCCAGCGCACCCCCAAACATGGTGAAGCCCATGACTGCTCTTGAGTCAACTCAATAGTCACCTCGCTCAATCGCATCCCCTGGCTGTCACTCACTTAAAAGTTACTCCCCTTAGTCACGTCCCGTTACAGTCACATCCTTTGACAGCCACAACTCTCCTTTTTTCGTCGCATCACAACAAATCACACACGCACACACACCCCATCAGGTGGGCTCACAGTGGTCCAGATGGCGATCTTGGAGGCGATGAACTGGGCAGGCAGCTAAGTTGGAGTAGCTTTTCAGAATTCTAAAAGCACATCCAACATTACACAAACGCACACACGAGCACACACACCCCTCAAGAGAGCTCAGCTCACTCACAGTGGTCCAGATGGCGATCTTGGAGGCAATGAACTGGCGGGGCAGGTTAAGCGTGATCTGATTCTCCAGCGCACTCCCAAACATGGTGAAGCCCATCACTGCCATGCCGCCATAGATGAGCGTGCACAGGATGAAGCTGCGAGAAAGGGGGGAGAGAGAGGTTGTGAGGAAGGGAGGGAGGGAGGCATGCAGGCATGAATCACGACAGCTCTGAGCATGGTGAAGCCCATGACTGCCATGCCGCCATAGATAAGCGTGCACAGGATGAAGCTGCGATGTAGTTGGATTGGGGAGCGAGGGAGCGATAGTGAGGGAGGGGAGGATGGGAAACGAAATCAGCAATCACACTAACTGGAAAATCATCTAATACGGTTCCTTAACTGAACAGCAAGTGCAGTCCTGCTTATCCCCAACGTTTTTGCTCACTAACGGAAAAGAAACAAAGTACGGAAAACAGCGAGCTCGTTTCAGGGTTATCTGCATCAGCAGGCTGTGAACCCTCTCAATATGCTACTGACTGACCTGCAGCAGAGTACCCACCTGCAGTAGCCCATCCACCTCCAGTAAAGCACTTTATTGAAGTCGTTGCGGTTGTGCATGGACATGTAGATGTTGGGGAACACGGCATGGCCCGAATAGCAGAAGCCAAAGAGGCTTTGAGACGTCTCAAAACTAGGCTACCCACCTGCAGCAGCCTACTCACCTGCAATAGCCTACTCACCTGCAATAGCCTACTCACCTGCAATAGCCTACTCACCTGCAGCAGCCTACCCACCTGCAGGAGCCCACCCACCTGCAGTAAAGCACTTTGTTAAAGTCGTTGCGATTGCGCATGGACATGTAAATATTGGGGAATACGGCATGGCCCTTTTTGTGTGGCGCCTCATAAATCGACTCCAACCACGCAGCTTCCATGTTGAGAGGATTTTCTAGGCGCCTCAAAAGCAGAGTACCCACCTGCAGTAGAGCACTTTGTTGAAGTCGTTGCGGTTGCGCATGGACATGTAGATGTTGGAAAACACAGCATGGCCCGAGTAGCAGAAGCCAAAGAGGCCGATGGTGACGTCTCAAAACTAGGCTACCCACCTGCAGCACAGTACCCACCTGCACTAGCCTGCCCACCCACCTGCAGTAGAGCACTTTGTTGAAGTCGTTGCGGTTGCGCATGGACATGTAGATGTTGGGAAACACAGCATGGCCCGAGTAGCAGAAGCCAAAGAGGCCGATGGTGACAGGCATGCCCCAGATGCTGAGTAGCGGGCCCGACTGGTGGAATCCCACATCCGCCACTCCCACCCACGCCACTGACGATACGACTACCACTGACGCCACCACTCCCCCCGCTGAGATAAGGGAGCACCATACCAGCAGGAGCGCACAGGGAGAGAGATGGAGAGAGAGCAGATCAAGAGGGGTGGGAGGGGAGGGTTGGGAGGGGGAGAGGGAGGGATGAGAGAGCTTTTGAAGCGCGTTAGAAAGAGTAGCAGAAGCCAAAGAGGCCGATGGTGACGGGCATGCCCCATATGCTGAGTAACGGGCCCGACTGGTGGAATCCCACATCTGCCACCCCCACCCACGCCACTGACGATACGACTACCACTGACGCCACCACTCCCCCCGCTGTGTGCAGCAGCAGCAGCAGCAGCAGCAGCAGCAGCAGCAGCAGCAGCAGCAGCAGCAGCAGCAGCACAGGTTTGCACAGCATACGCAGAGGGGATCAGAAGACAACGGAGGGAAAGTGAGGGGAAGGGGAACGCGCAGACGCGGTTGGGGAGAGGGAGAAGGGTAGGGGGAGAGAGGAAAGGGGAGAGAGAATGGGTGGGTGTGGTTGGGGCAGGGGGGAGATGGGGAGAGAGTTTAGTGGGTCTACAACAGGGTTTAATAAAGTCGACAGGGTTGCCACAACAGGTGCACTCGAGATGTAGGAGAGGAGGCTGGAGTCATGCAAGTACATGGATGGTGGGCAGGTACGAGATGGTCATGCAGAGAGCACCCAGATGGTGTGAGAGGCAATTTCTTTCCGCATGGGCGCTCACAGCTGGCAATCTCACCCAATCTCACCTGAGACATAGGAGAGGAGGCTGAGGTCGCGCAGGTACATGGTGGGCAGGATGCAGAGCGCGGAGATGCAGAGAGCACATGTGTAAGACATTTTCAAGTAGGCGCCCACGACAGAGAATCTCACCAAAGATGTAGGAGAGAGGAGTTGCGTGGGCGCCACGCACACACACACAACACAACCAACGAGCTCACTCACCTGAGACGTAGGAGAGGAGGCTGAGGTCGCGCAGGTACATGGTGGGCAGGATGCAGAGCGCGGAGATGAGCACAAACACATGCCGCGACGTCAGGTGCACGCCCAGCACCGACAGGCCCAGCTGCGGAAACATGGCGCCTAGATTGTCACCTTCCAGGATTAGAAACTCCACGCAGCATGCCTGTGCAGGGCGGGGGAACGGGGGGTTGGTGGAGGGTGAATGGCGAACGTCAGGTGCACGCCCAGCACCGACAGGCTCAGCTGCGGAAACATGGCGCCTAGATTGTCAACTTCCAAGATCAGAAACTCCACGCAGCACGCCTGTGGGGGGGGAGAGGTGGGGAAGGGGACGGTAACAAAGGGGAGCGACATGGGGCATTCAGCTGCGGAAACATGGCGCCTAGGTTGTCACCCTCCAGGATCAGAAACTCCACGCAGCACGCCTGTGGGGGGGGAGAGGTGGGGAAGGGGACGGTAACAAAGGGGAGCGACATGGGGCATTCAGCTGCGGAAACATGGCGCCTAGGTTGTCACCCTCCAGGATCAGAAACTCCACGCAGCATGCCTTGTGAAAAAAAAGGGGTTGGGTGGAGGAAGCAATTGAGGACCGCGGATAGAGGAGGAGAAAGGGGGAGATGGGCGGAGCAGGAAGGTTGGATGGGAGAGGAGAAACGGAATCTTAGGGGCGGTGAGGGTTTCGGGTACAGGTGGCTTTGTGTGCATATGGCTCACATTGCCTTTGGCTTTGTACTCATGTGATGTGTGACTTAGTTTGCCAAAGAAGCAGAGGGCGAGAGACAAACTCGTAGAAGAGATGGGCGGTGGTGCGCATTCTTCTTGATTCATTCCTCAACTTTAGACAGAACAGAAACAAGCGATCATGAAAGGAATAATGGATGGTTGTTACACTAGCGACTTACATATAACTCCACGTAGAGCACGATCTGGAATGGCATTGGGACACATCACAGGGACGGGCGGGGAAAGACAAGGAGAGAGAGAGAGAGAGAGGAAGGGTCATGGGAGAAGCGAGAACACACAAGGGACAAAAAACTTGGGCCAGACATGAGAACTACGAAGCCAACTTCATCCCGAAAAGGAATCTGCGACATGACAGCTGCTCAAATCTACCATGAGCACGCCTTATCTCCCTCCCGCCCTCCCTCTCTCCCTTGTTTTCCTCTCCCCTCCGCCCTTCTCACTCTTCCCCCAATGCCACTCACCGATATCAGCAGGCGACCCATCTGCCCAAACGCAGCCTCGCCGATATCCGGGTAAGTCTCCAGTCCCGGTTCACTATCCAAACAAAACCGCAGCACCAGACCCGTGTAACAGCAGATCGCCGCGAGCAGCACCAGCAGCAGCAGCCCCGCCCACCCGCCCTGCATGAGCGCATACGGCGTGGACAGAACGCCCACCCCTGCGAGGATATTCACTCCGTTAAACATCGCCTGGATGAAACTACTCCCGCTCCCCTTGCCGTGTAACTCGTAGTACGTGTCTTCGTCGTCTTCCTCCTCCTCCTCCTCCCCGTCTTCCTCTCCGTCGTAATACTCGTCCTCGTCCTCCTCCTCGTCTTCCGCTGCTGCTTTCCCTGCCCCGCGCCGGCCTAGCTCCGGGATAGCAGGGGCTGCAGCTTCAGACACACGCCCATCGGCGCCTATCAAGAGCTGACCGTCTGGAGAGATTTTCCTCTGCTGCTGGTGGTGGTGGTGCTGCTGCTGCTGGTGGTGGTGCTGCTGCTGCTGCTGCTGCTGCTGCTGCTGCTGCTGCTGGTGCGGGGACAGCAATCCCTGCTGCAGCTGCGGTTGGGTATAGCTGGAGGCGGAGAGGATGGGGGACTTTCCGCGGTAGGAGAGGGAGGGGTGTGGGGAGGTGAGTGCGCCGCTCAGTCGGTGCGACAGTGGGCTGAAGAGTTTCGGAATGCTGGGCGATGCCATGTGACTGTAAATGTCCATGGATTGACTGTAACGGGGGGACGGACGGGACGGCGGGGCGGAGTGGGGGTTTGAGGGGGAGAACGGGGGGACGGGGGGTGGAGGAAGAAGGGGAGAAAGGAAGAGAGGGTAGGCAAGGAGGAGTGATGACGGGAGGGAAGGGGAGGGGAGAGGAGGGGACGATCTGAAAAACAAGAGGGATATATTTTGTGTGTGTTGAGGGTATATTGGGAGAGAGGAAGGTATTAAATGTATATGGGTGGCATGATTGCATGAGCCAAGGATAAGCTTTCCCATATGTGACATATCTACACCGAGCATCGGGAAGGAAATGAAACCAACCGGGTCTGCATGTCAAAGACGAAAAAACGCACAATGCAGCGGCCAATTTTCGTGGCTTTCAAAAACTCTCTCCTTCATTCCCTCTCTCCTTCAAAACCTCTCTTCTTCTTTCGTGGCCTTCCCTCTCTCTCCTTCGCTCTCCTCTTTCCCACGTACCGGTAACTCTGCGGCCAGTGCGCGCGCTGCTGCAGCGACGGCCGGTCCTGAACAGACCCCACGCCCTCCTCCTCATCCAACTCATCGTCGTCATACCGACCACTCCCCTGGCCCCCCCTCCCCCCTCTCCCCATGCTCCCGCTCCGCCCTACCGCCCTCGCCCCCGTGCTTCCGCTCGCGCCCGCTCCCCGCGACCCTCCGATGCCGTAGCTCCCGGAGTGCGGAGCCCGGGGATGCCCGCCCGCCGCCGCCGCGCGGGACCTGTGCGCGTGGTGCGCGGAGTGGTGTATGCGCGGATCTTGCTGGTGCTGCTGCTGATGCGGGTTGGCGGGGTGCGGAGGGTGCTGCGGGGCGGGGTGCGGGTGACGCTGGCCTGGCGCGGGCCTTTCCCGCTCCCCCTGATCCTCCGTTATGTGGTCGAAGTCCCCATCGAAGTAAAACCCGTGCTGTCCTGACGCCATTGGGGAACGCTTCTGGCTGATCTAATCTGTTCTGATCTGATCTGACCTGATTTCTAGTGAAAACACGAAACGAAACAGATGGGCGTAGCCTCGTCCAGGCTCGGGCCGGTTGTAGCTTTTAATGAGCAAATGTAGCTTAGTGGCTTTCTGGGACTCGTCGTATGGACGCCACGTCACTCACTTCCGCGTGTTTCTGCTTCAAGCCAGTGTGAAATGCAGCCTGCCAGATTAGAGATCGAAAAAAGCGTTAGCGACAGTGTGCCGTCGGTGGAAGACGACAAAATGCACACACCTCTTACACACTGCACAATGCACACTGCACAATGCCGTTAAAGCTGAACGACGTATTGAGCGACAACGCCGCTAAGGCTGAACTCGGCAAGTTCCCCAGGGAAACGTCTTACCACAATAAATGCTATCACAGAGCAATGAAAGGTCAGTCCTTCACAGCTTCGAGACGCTGATGTCGCGATGACCGAGTCCAACTAGTGGATGATAAATAAGAAGCCCCTTCAATACTGCATCATAAGCGCAACAAGCTTGCAAGGCGAGGCGGATGGTGGCTACGAACGAAACCCCACAATGCGGGAGTGTTTTTTACTGATCGGCCGAGACACCAAGGCGTTCTCGTGACGTGAAGTTGCCGTCGTCGCAATGACGTTGTCCAGAGTTGTTCCTGTCCTGCTCCTTAAACCTTTCTTTCGTTGCTTGTTGATAGAGAGGGCCTTCGTTCCCCTCCCCTCCTGCTCAAACCTTGAAACTTCAGCAAGCCAGAAACCTCAGGGATTGCCGTGCTGTTCTCCCTCGCACTGACTGACTGGCATCATCACATCACATGCCAAATGGCCCGTGCCTGACTGTACCTTCAGCCAATTTGGAAAATGCGTCATGTCATTCATGTCATGTGTCAGCTCGTGTCAGTTGTGCGGTGCTTTCAAGGTAGGCGCGCAGCTAACTGGATCTTGGGGGCGCTGACGCTGGAATCTGGGGGCGTGGTGCTCCTTGCCACGTCGACACCATTGTGGGGACCATAACAGCAGTACGCAGTTGGCGAACTTTATGAGTTGGCCAATCCTGATTGTCATCCACTGATTGCTTGCAGGAGCTTGACAGTAACGAGCGGCGGATCAACAGCGAATGAGTTTCGCCTAGGGGCTGTCACCGGGGAGGATGTCCCCTGAGTGGAGGAGTCGAACCCTGCAGAAATGCTGACGACCACGGTTCCACGTGCACTTCCACGTGCAGTTTTTCTCAACAAGGATTGGCTGACGCGGCATGTGGTACAATTGTTGGATGCCAAGCTGATAAGTCCCCGTTCTTGATATGCCTTGTTTGAAGCAGCATGCACACACTATGGTGTAAACATTAGTGTTTATAGAAGACAGTGCCACATAGTCTCTGAGATGACGATTCTTGTTGTGTGCTTTATCATGATTTCAAATCATTTAAAAAAAATGCAAATGCTCGAAATATTACAAGGAGGCACTGTACCATGCTTGTCAAATTCACCTTGTGCCAGCCTAGCTTGTTCTTTGATGCATTGTGCCACTCGCAATGAAACCCCAGGCTTTCCAAGAAGAGAAGGAAGCTTTTCATGGCCTGCAAGCTGCAATGAGCGGGCAGACTCGCTCAAAAGAAGCTCCTTTGTTGCACCAGCAATAGCTTCTGGAGTGGCACCTTCTTGGATAAACTCAGGAACCAGCTGTAAGCCCGACCCAGAATTTTGAGGAAGAAAGAAACAAACGCAATCCGAGCTCAGAATGAGAAGGGTAGGAGAGAAGGACAACGGGGAGAAGCAAGTACAAGAAAACGCATAAACGAATCAGTGACAAAACAAAACGAACAACCCAGTGGAAACAGAGGGAAAGGGAGTGTGAGGGGAGAAGAAGAGAGGGGGGAGGGATAGGGAAAAAGGGGGGGGTGGGAGGGGAAAGGGTTGAGGAAGTGGACAAACAGAAGGGAGTATGGGAGGCTGCGTACCGGCTCCAGCAGCACGAGATTGACAAGGGAGTAAAAGGGGTGACGGAAGCTAACGAGCAGTCGAGATGACTATTGAGTCGTCTCAAAGGGCGTACCGGCTCCAGCAGCACGAGATTGACAAGGGAGTAGAACGGGTGACGGAAGTGCACAAGCAATCGGGCAAGGAGAGCGGTGGCAGGGGAGAGACGATAGAGGACCACTTGCGGCACCTGATGGGCACACCATGTGTGCGCATGCATGGCATGAGAGGGATGAGAGGTATGAGAGGGGCCACGGGGACAGCCAGGAAAGAGTGCATGCAGGGAGACGATGGTTGAGACGTCTTGAAAAGAGGAGAGTGGTGGTAGCGGAGAGATGATAGAGGACCACTTGAGGCACCTGATGGGGCACACCATGTGCATGCATGCATGGCATGAGAGGGATTATGAGAGGGGCCACGGGGCCACACAGGAAAGAGTGCATGCAGGGTGTGGGCGTGGAGAGGTGCATACAGGGATTGAAATGAGTGCAACGCAAGTCAGCGCGGTTCGCCATGAGCAGCGTGAGCTGCAGCGTCACACTGCCAGACTTGGTAACGGCAGCGTCAGCTGCTGCCATGCTATTGAGGCACTTCAGAATTCAGGGCAAGTCAAAGCAAGTCAACGCGGCTCACCTTGAGCAGGGCGAGCTGCAATGTCACACTGCCAGACTTGGCAATAGCAGCATCAGCAGCTGCCATGCTTTTGAGACGCCTCAGAAGTCAACGCAAGTAAAAGGAAGTCATTACAAGTCAACGCGGCTCACCTTGAGCAGGGCCAGCTGCAATGTCACACTGCCGGACTTGGTGATAGCAGCATCAGCTGCTGCCATGGCTGGTAGGCTCTGGTGTGGCTGATGGCAGTGGGGCACGAAGGGCAAAGGAGTGTGTGTGAGTGTGCATGAAAACTGACGACCCAGGGGTGATCAGATCACTCATGTGGAAGACCAGCAGGATTAGCAGTAATTTTGTGTTTATTAGAAGTTGGGACTTGGTGACGGCCCATCACCTGCTGCCATGGCTCGTAGGCTCTAGTGTGGCTGATGGCAGCGGGGCATGGAGGGCAGAGGAGTGTGGGTGAAACAAAGGGCGAACAGAAAGGAAGGAGGGTGGGTGGGAGGGTGGGAGGGTGGAAAGGAGGGAGCGTACTTGCGTATGAGAGGGTTACAAAGAAAAGGAAGAGCTGGTTTTATGAGTTGTGAAGAATGACACTGTACCTCCAGCACCTGACAGCTCGTGCCGTGTGCATGTTGAACGCCCTCAGATGCTCCTCCACTCCACCCAAGCTCTCAGGGTCTTGTCTGCTAAAGGCAGCTAGATAAGCATCGCTTTTGGGAGTTGTCAAGATTGGACACCGTACCTCCAGCACCCAACAGCTCGTGTGCATGTTGAATGCCCTTAGCTGCTCCTGTACCTGCCCTCGCAAAGACTCGTCTGCCAGAGGCAGGAGAAAGAGTGGCGGCCTGTGGAGCGGTTTGGGAGGGGAGGAGAACAAAACAAGGAAGAACAAGACAAAATTAGAGAAGAGCAGGAACGGGTGTGACAAACAAGGGAGGAGGAGGAGGAGGGGGAGGCAGTGGTTGAAGGTTGAAGGGGAGAAATAACATGGAGTGCGAAACAGGAGTGGAGAGAGGGTGAGAAAAAGGGGAGGGGGGATAAAACAAGGAAAGAACTGCGGAGGAACTGCGATGGTGGGCAAAAATAGCATGGCTTGCTGTTGCTCACTCGCCGCCTGCATCATGCATTTGTTGTTTGAGCAGCAGAGCAGCAGACAGCACGATGGGAAGAATGAAGGACGTCTCCTGTGGGCGTGATGCTGGTAGCAGCGCCACCACCCTGGCTGTCAGGGAGATTGCAAGCTGCGCGCGGGCCTGCGGTGGGAAAGAGATAATGAGGGAGATAGGGGGGATAAGAGAGAGAGGTTCCTATGTTGATCTCATGAACAGGTGGTGAGGAAGAGAGGGGTAGAGGGAGACTGGGAGACAGGGAAGCAAGAAAAGAAGTGGAAAGGCAGGGCGGAGCAGAAGAAAAGACGAAGAAAACAGAGCAGAGCAGGAGGGGAAAGAGATTAACAGCAAGCGTTCTGAGTTCTCTGGAAGCATGTTTGAGAGCATGCTTGGAACAGGAGCAAGGAGGAGCATCCACGTGCCCTATCTCTCACCTGCTGTTGATTTTTTAGGGACTCAAACAGGCATTCGCGTGCTGTGCCCTCTCTCTCACCTGGTGTCGGCTTGGAGCATGAGCTACGGTGTCCACTAGAGGGTGGCCGAATAGCTTCACTCTGCCTCCCAATGATGAGAAGAACTCGGCCTGATAGAGGTGTAGGCAGAGGAATGGTGATGATGGAAAGTGTGGGGATGAAGTCAGGAAGATGCCTGGAAAAGAAGGCAGACTCAGACACGGAAAAGGTTCAAATGGTTCTCGACACAGACACGCACCGAGAAACCGATGCCCTCTCGCCAATCCCCCACCCCGCCACCTCACCTCATCGGGGTAAGTGGCGATGACGAGGTGACAGGCAGCAACGAGGGCACAGAAAGATGTGTTGTTTGAGCCTTCTCAGGGGTCCCCAGAAACTTATGCCCCCTCCCTCCCCACTCCCACGCCACCCTCCGCCGCCTCACCTCGTTGGGGTAAATGGCGATGACGCGGTGACAAGCAGCAACGACGGTGACTTGGTCCGGGTGGGCGACCTGGTCCGGTTAGGCGACCTGGTCCGGTTGGGCGACCTGGTCCGGTTGGGCGACCTGGTCCGGTTGGTCGACCTGGTCCGGTTGGGCGACCTGGTCCGGTGGGGCGACCGGTCCGGTTGGGCGATCTGGTCCGGTGGGGCGACCTGGTCCGGTTGGGCGACCTGGTCCGGTTGGGCGACCTGGTCCGGTTGGGCGACCTGGTCCGGTTGGGCGACCTGGTCCCGTGGGGCGACCTGGTCCAGTTGGGCGACCTGGTCCGGTTGGGCGACCTGGTCCGGTTGGGCGACCTGGTCCGGTTGGGCGACCTGGTCCGGTTGGGCGACCTGGTCCGGTTGGGCGACCTGGTCCGGTTGGGCAACCTGGTCCGGTTGGGCGACCTGGTCCGGTTGGGCGACCTGGTCCGGTGGGGCGACCTGGTCCGGTTGGGCGACCTGGTCCGGTTGGGCGACCTGGTCCAGTTGGGCGACCTGGTCCGGTTGGGCGACCTGGTCCGGTTGGGCGACCTGGTCCAATTGGGCGACCTGGTCCGGTTGGGCGACCTGGTCCGGTTGGGCGACCTGGTCCGGTTGGGCGACCTGGTCCGGTTGGGCGACCTGGTCCGGTGGGGCGACCTGGTCCAGTTGGGCGACCTGGTCCGGTTGGGCGACCTGGTCCGGTTGGGCGACCTGGTCCGGTTGGGCGACCTGGTCCGGTTCAGCCCCTGATCCGGTTGGGCGACCTGGTCCGGTTGAGCGACCTGGTCCGGTTGGGCGACCTGGTCCGGTTGGGCGACCTGGTCCGGTTGGGCGACCTGGTCCGGTTGGGCGACCTGGTCCGGTTGGGCGACCTGGTCCGGTTGGGCGACCTGGTCCGGTTGGGCGACCTGGTCCGGTTGGGCGACCTGGTCCGGTTGGGCGACCTGGTCCGGTTGGGCGACCTGGTCCGGTTGGGCGACCTGGTCCGGTTGGGCGACCTGGTCCGGTTGGGCGACCTGGTCCGGTTGGGCGACCTGGTCCGGTTGGGCGACCTGGTCCGGTTGGGCGACCTGGTCCGGTTGGGCGACCTGGTCCGGTTGGGCGACCTGGTCCGGTGGGGCGACCTGGTCCGGTTGGGCAACCTGGTCCGGTTGGGCGACCTGGTCCGGTGGGGCGACCTGGTCCGGTTGGGCGACCTGGTCCGGTTGGGCGACCTGGTCCGGTTGGGCGACCTGGTCCGGTTGGGCGACCTGGTCCGGTTGAGCCCCTGATCCGGTTGGGCGACCTGGTCCGGTTGGGCGACCTGGTCCGGTTGGGCGACCTGGTCCGGTTGGGCGACCTGGTCCGGTTGGGCGACCTGGTCCGGTTGGGCGACCTGGTCCGGTTGGGCGACCTGGTCCGGTTGGGCGACCTGGTCCGGTTGGGCGACCTGGTCCGGTTGGGCGACCTGGTCCGGTTGGGCGACCTGGTCCGGTTGGGCGACCTGGTCCGGTTGGGCGACCTGGTCCGGTTGGGCGACCTGGTCCGGTTGGGCGACCTGGTCCGGTTGGGCGACCTGGTCCGGTTGGGCGACCTGGTCCGGTTGGGCGACCTGGTCCGGTTGGGCGACCTGGTCCGGTTGGGCGACCTGGTCCGGTTGGGCGACCTGGTCCGGTTGGGCGACCTGGTCCGGTTGGGCGACCTGGTCCGGTTGGGCGACCTGGTCCGGTTGGGCGACCTGGTCCGGTTGGGCGACCTGGTCCGGTTGGGCGACCTGGTCCGGTGGGGCGACCTGGTCCGGTTGGGCGACCTGGTCCGGTTGGGCGACCTGGTCCGGTTGGGCGACCTGGTCCGGTTGGGCGACCTGGTCCGGTTGGGCGACCTGGTCCGGTTGGGCGACCTGGTCCGGTTGGGCGACTTGGTCCAGTTGGGCACCACTCCCACTCCAACAGCCACGCCTCACCTCGTCGGGGTAAGTGGCGATGGCGAGGTGACAGGCAGCAACGGATGCACAGATACAAACAGAAGCTGATGCCCCCTTTCCAGCCTTCTGAGAGTTCTCAAAAGTGACTCCTGCCATCTCACCTCGTCAGGGTACGTGGCGATGACGAGGTGACAGGCAGCAACGGATGCGATGCGAGGGGAGGAGGACGAGGAGAAGAGCCATTCATTGGGCGGAATGTAGTAGATCACCCGCGTGGCGGCTGCAGAGGCAAGGGAGGGGTGCAGGGGGGGTGGGAAGATCAGGGGGAAAACGGAATGGGGCAAGAGGGAAGAGGCAGGAGGACGAGGAGGAGAGCCACTGGTTGGGCGGGATGTAGTAGATGACCCACGTGCCGGCTGCACTGGCAATGGGAGGAGGTGGATGGAGGAGGGGGAGAGATGGGGTGGAGGTGGAGAGAGGGGAGGCAGGAGTGATGGGAGGATGATCGGGGAGGAGACCATGAACCATGAACCATGCCCCATTCCCCGATGCCCATGATTCATGCCCCATGACCCATGCCCCATGTCCCATGTCCCAAGTCCTGATGAGCAACGAGTACGTACAATGGTTACTTTTGACTCGACTTAGAAGTCACCATGGCCTCCAAGTTTACGTTTCACAAGGAGCAGGCCAGCCAAGGGGCATGCTGTAGAGCAGCGAGTACGTACGATGGTTCTTGAGAATGTAGTCCGCAAGAGGGATGTTGAAGCCGGGATAATGGGAGGAGACCATGACCCATGAACCATGACCCATACCCCACTGCCCCATGACCCATGCCCCATGTGCTATAGAGCAGCGAGTACGTACGATGGTTCTTGAGAATGTAGTCAGCAAGCGGTATGTTGAAGCCGGGATAATCCATCAGCACCTGGTGCATGCAGGGATGCACACAGATCACCACATTCACATGCACACACATGCACACACATGCACACACATGCACACACATGCACACACATGCACACACATGCACACACATGCACACACATGCACACATGCACACACACATGCACACACATGCACACACATGCACACACATGCACACACATGCACGCACATGCACACACATGCACGCACATGCACGCACATGCACACACATGCACACACATGCACACACATGCACGCACATGCACACACATGCACGCACATGCACGCACATGCACACACATGCACGCACATGCACACACATGCACGCACATGCACGCACATGCACGCACATGCACACACATGCACGCACATGCACACACATGCACACACATGCACACATGCACACATGCACACACACATGCACGCATGCAAGCACACACATGCACGCATGCAAGCACACACATGCACACACATGCATGCATGCGGACCCCACAATCTCATGCACGTGCATTCACACATGCATGTGCACATGTGGGCATGCATGCGAATGCAAACAGAAGACCCACCCAGCGTGGACAGTTTGCATGAACAGTGGGAATGCATGCCAAAAATAGGCACCCTGGCGATTTTTTTCAGGAGCCTAAAAAGGGGCCACAAGAAACGCACTTTAACATCACAACCTCCCACGCCGCCCCTCCCTCATCCCCTTCCATGCCTCCCCTTCCCCTCCCCATGCTCCCTCTCCCACACCCACCCACCCACCCAGACACTCACACCCTCCCACGCACCACCGCGTGTGGCTTGTGCTGCTGCACAAAGCGCTTGGCAGCTTGAAGGAGCTTTGAGTCGACTCAAACCTCTCCCAAAGCCACCCACCCACCCCCCGCCCCCCCACCCCCCTACCACCTGCTCTACCACGCACCACTGCGTGTGGCTTGTGCTGCTGAACGAAACGCTCGGCAGCTTGAAGAAGCTTTGAGTCGACTCAAACCTCTCCCAAAGCCACCCACTCAACCACCCACCCAACCACACTCACACCCTCCCACGCACCACCGCGTGTGGCTTGTGCTGCTGCACAAAGCGCTTGGCAGCTTGAAGGAGCAGCAGGGAGCGCGGCACAAAGCGCAGGGCCTCAAACAGCCCTATGGACGACATGCCGTGGTTGCTGCCTGGGATGGGGAGGGGCAGGGTAGGGCAGGGCAGTGGAGGGATGGGGAAGGGCTATTTTTTTGAGGCCTCAAACAGCCCTATGGGCGACATGCTGTGGTTGCTGCCTGGGATGGTGTGGGGCAGGGTAGGGCAGGGCGGGGAGCGGAAGGGAGAGCAGGGGAGGGGAGGGGAAGGCAATACTTGGCAATCAAAGAGCGCGGCACAAAGCGAAGGAGCCTCAAAGTGCCCTATGGACGACATGCCGTGGTTGCTGCCTGGGATGGCGTGGGGCAGGGGAGGGGAGGGAAGGGCAGGGCAGGGCAAGATGGGGCAAGAAGGGGCAAGGCAGAAAACAGTAGGCTCTGTTTATAACCTCCCACGGCCAAGAATCTATAACGGATAAACAGTTCATATCCTGCTGCCCTCCCTCCCAGTGCACTGCACTGCAGGGAAGGAGCATACCTAACAGGATGGCACCCGCTGCTTCGCTTCTAGGCCCTGCCACTGCATAAACCTCCCACTCCTCCTCCTCTCCCTCCTCCGCTCCCTTCCCTCCCTGCTCGCCCTTCTCCCCCTCCTCTCCGTGCGTCACCGTCTCTCTTCCCAGCAGCGCGGCCACCAGTCTTGCCGCATGGTCATCCCCCATCACGTCACCTGCGCACACCTGACCAGGGAGAATGGGGGAGAGACTGGGAGAGTGAGAAAGAGAGGGAAGAACCACTTTCTTACAACAACTTCCCCAGAACTTGCCTCTCTAAAAACACCACACGGAAACTGTTTCTCAGGCGCCTCCAAACCTGCTGCTCGTCACTGCCCTGCGCTCACCAGTACTGTCACCTTTGCGAACGCCTCTCCTGCGCTCACCAGCACTGTCATCTTCCGCTTCCTCCCCGCACGTCCCTCCGCGCTCCATCCCCTTGCCTCGCTTTTCCCCCTCCCACCCGCATTTTTCTCGGAACGAGCATTCTCTCCGCGCCTGCTCGCCTCGCCGTCCCTCCGCTCCTCCCCCGCTGCCTGCGCCGCGCCGTCTGTGTTTCCCCCCACGCGCATCCCCTCTCCGAGCATCCCCTCTCCGCGCAATCCCCCTCCCCCGTGGTCGGTCTCCCCCGCCCCGCTCCCAGCCCGCCTATCCGCAGTTGCTTCCGCTGAGTAGCGCAACGTCCTCCGCTCCTTCCGCGGGTTGATCCATATCCCTGCCTCCCCGCGCTCCGGAAAGCCGCTTTCTTGTCGCTTGATCCGCGACGAGTTCTCGTGCGGTGCAAACGCGACGGTCGAGCGATAGGCGAAATGCGACAATGGCGAAGAGGCAGCGAGACCGCAGGTCGAGGGCTCGAACCCTTCGCCTGTCCGAAACTCGCGAGGCGAACGATGCGAAAGAAGCGAAAGGATACGCAAATGATGCGAGGAGACTGATTGAGTCATCATGCCTGGAGGAAACCCCGTTATTGTTAGCGAAACACAGAAACTCTGTTGTTACCAGAGCGAACAACGGCGAGCAGAAGACCTCTTCGTCAAAGGGCAGTCATAACTAGATACTTCGCCGCGCTGCTCCTGCATCTACGAAACACTCACAACCTCCTATCAAAGCACCAGTAGCGGAGCGTCGAAATGGCCTTTGTGGATCATGGAACTTGAAGCGCGAGACGCGGAAGGGAAAATGTTGAAATTTCTTCCATAGCAGAGAATCTGAACAAGAGTGACCTCATTCGCGACAGGCGAAATTTCGAGTCGTAAAATGTTACAAATGTAAAAATCTCAAGTTCTTGTCATTCGAAGCCAGTTCGTTTGGTTCAAACCTGCACATGAATTTTCGCGTAGCACAAGCTTTGTTATGAATGAACTTGTCAGAGTGCGCAGATATCGAATAACGAGAATGGAAATTACAGCATGGCTGAACAATGAACTAGCGAGGCCTAAATAGGGGAAAACCTAGCTAGGCGGGGATGGTGTGGTAGGGTTGGCTCGCGAAGTGTCGCGATTGGTGCGGAGGCGGCTCGGTGAGGTTGGGATGCGAAATTGTAGGCCGAACCAGAGGGTCGCGTGGCGCTCGGGATGTCCTCGCTATCGAGCGCCTCAGTAAGGATTTGTAAATCCTTACACTCTCCCACCTCCTAAATAAGGCAGCCCTGTACTGAAAAGGGACCCACACTGTGGAGGATGCCGTTGATCTTCACTTCAGCTGAATCCGACGGCTGAAATGCTTCACACAATTTTGTTGAAAATGTTGGAATGTCGGCCGTTGATGCAGTCAGATTTCGATCTGACTGTCGAAGATAAACTGGCCCAAAATGAAGTAGAAGTTGGAATGTGGGCCGTAGATTGCGAAGGTGTAGATCTGACGGTCGAAGATGTCGCGAAATTGGAGGGAAACTGCTGACGCGAATTCGAACGCGATTGAGCAGGAACCGTTGATCGTGTCGGTGTGATCGCGATCGTCCGTCGTGCTGACGCAACCTGACAAAGTCAGAAAAGGACCGAGAATACGCCAAGGAAAGAAAACAGTGCAAAGCACTTTCTCCCCCCCTCCAAGAAATTATACCAGAAAATGCTCACTGCTGCGCCGAGAGGAAAAACCAACAAAAGTCCAGGTGTTAAGTCCCACGAAGAAAGCCGTTGATGGAAGGAACCCAAGTGAAAATGCGTCGGTGTGGAAATGTCGATGTCGAAATTAGGTATTACGTGCCCAAAATTCGTCAAGGGCGAACCAGCGAAAGTAGACCAGAAACCGAAACCGAAATTGCCGAGTACTCGAACTGAAGCTTTTTGTCTTCACATCGCCAGAATCATGCAGCATCCGCAGCAGTTGCAGCTGGCAGCACCTGACGTGGCTGAAATTAAATATGTTTGTCGTGGGCGGGTCGATGGCGAGTTGTTGGAAGCAGAGTTGGGATGGATTCTCCAAGAATTTTGTCGTAATCCGCCGAGAGTTCGTGGGCAGGGATGAAAATTTGCAGCTGTCTCTCCCCCCCGTCAATGTTGCCGCCGCCTTCTCCAGTTCGTCGTAAGTCGTTCGTACCCCTTGAAAAGTCCGTGTAGTTCCCGCGCCGTTGCCCTGCGTAAATTTCGCGCGCATTTAATCAAACTTCGAAAGTACTGCCACAAAATTGCCGCGCTTTCGCCGTAAAACCGTGAAGTCCTTCGTCAAACTCCGAAATCGTCGCTCGAGAAGTAGCCCCGTAAATCCACAGGTCTAGGTGCAGTTCTCCTCCGAAAATCTCGGACGTGCTATAGCCGCCCACCCGGTCACCATCAGTTTCCTTCGGTTACCCGACCCCAGCGTGTGGGTTCAATCGAGAACCGGGGACTGCCCTGGGTCTTCCGAGACCGAATTTCACGGAACCTAGTGGCATCAACGCCTTTGACCCCGTCGTCGAAACTGCTCCCGTCGATGTCGCTTAACTGAAAACCACGCAAACTCCCACTGGCGCTTTGCGATGTTTCACCTCATCGCTCGTCACCGGCAGGTAAATCCCGAAGCCTCGGCTGCTTTCACGCTCCATGAAGAATTTCCCGCGGTGTACGTTTAAACACCCGTGGGTCCTAGGTATCAACCGCACTCCAAGAAACGAAGTGTCAGAATGTTATTCTCTAGCCTGTAGTGGGGTGCTCTATAGCGAGTACAACCCCTTAGGGTTTCCTATATGTATCCTGCTGCTTGCTAGTTCATCATCATTCCCATTCTCACAATTCTCCTTCGTATACCACAAACCCTAGTCCTAGGGCACAACCTACTACCTCCTAGTGTGGGCCTAGGCTACTAAGCCTAGGCCCCACTCCTAGTATTCCTGACATGGTATCAGAGCGTTCACGCTCCTGGCCTGTGGGCCCCACTGCTGCTTCCGCTGCCCTACTCAGTGTCGC